GAAGTACAATAGATATAAGACTGCTGCCCTCTGCCATGCAGATAAGCCCTCTGTCTTGGCATCATGTCAGTAACTGCTCTTCCATCATTTGTTTCTTCTACAAAGAAAATTGTTAGAGAACTTCCTACCTTTTAATACCCTGGAGTTTTTTTCACTCATTTCTCAGATTTAGGCTTTTGTAAAGTTTTATAAAAAATCTTTGACAGATAACAAAACACATGCAGTTTGTTGGCATTCTTTTCAGTTTCAAAACCACATAATAAATTTTTCCACGCGTTGATAAACTAGATTTTAAAAGTGCGTTTTCTGGATATCTAGATAATCAACAACACAATGAATATAAACATTTTCTATAAATAGTTCACCATATGGCTATCATTCTCAACAGATGGTGTCTGTGTATTCACTAGAATATACAAGAGCTATGCAAATTTTGCCCTGCAATCATTCAAAATTCTAAACAAGTTTTTCTTACTTCAGTTTTATTACGCTTAATCAAAGTCAAAACACGCAATTTTATCCCCAAGCTCTAATACAGGGAAAAAATGCCACAACTATATAAACAAAGGATTTTGCAAAAGGCAGTACAGTTGAAAGGAGTTTATAATAAAGAGACACTAGGTACAAGGTTTTCTCAATCCTAGGACAGCACTCTGCTGCTAATGATAGTTTTTCCCAAAAAAACAGACCCACTTGTAAACAGTTCATGAACAAGAATGCAGTTATGAAAAAATCCGTATTCCAAGGGATCTGAGAGTTTGTATCTATTTTGCAGCAAATGTTCTCATATGCATTATAATGGCATCATTTATAGTAACCCCAAGCAGGTGATGATTACTGCAGTATTAATGGCACTCTAGCTTCTCACCAACCATCATTATACTTGGCTTGTAGCTGTAGCAACAAAGCCTACTAGAAAGTCTACAGATTTTATCCAGTTTTAGTAAAAAACAAACTTACTAAATTTTTATGGTTTCCTGAAAGCCAATATATAAACATCTCCATGTTTTCGACTTTCAGAAGCTGCTGGGCAGGTCTGAATATCAATCAAAACAACACATGACCAAAAGTTGACTAGATACTTGTTTATCCTCTTCCAACACAAAACTATTTAAGCTCAAATCACTGTATAAACATTTTCTGAAAAGTCCTTCTTGGTCTACACTGGCTTATCTGTTGGAAATCAAATTCTAATTTTCAGTTTAGACATTTTTATAGCATTTCTTATCCACCTGAACAAGTACTAGTTTTAATTCTATAGTTTTTCAAACTTGTTACTATTTCTCACCTGACACACTTATGGTAAAAATAACACATTCCCATTCCTCTCTTAGTTATTAAGTTGTTAAGCTTTCTGTTCTGAAGGTCCTGACTGTTGTTGGCTTTGCCAGTCATGATTTCTTCTCTATCTGTTCCTATAGCTCCCAGCTACTACTTGTCCCTGCACAGACACCAGTTCTTAGTGAAATCTCCCTAAGTATAGAGGAAGGAATCCCAGCCATTCCTCTTCAGAACTGCAAATAACTGCAATATTGGATAATGGCTTCACATGTTACAAAAATGTCTCTTTTTTTCCTCCTCTTTATAGCGACAGGAATATCTTTACATTATCATAAGGTATGCAGTGCACCTGAAAGTCCTGCACAACTGCAGAAGGCAGGTGACATCTCAAAGCCCAGCAAAATAACAATATCTTCTAACAACGTACAAGTTGCCAAGATATTCCTCTGAAAATTAATAGTGATAAATGTAACTTTTCTATAAAGGAGAGTACATAAACAAGAAGGATAATGCATGGTACTGTGCTCTGGAATTGTGCCTCACTGTTGACAGCACACCAGCTTTTTGCCTACTGCTAAGTACTTCTTGCCGATTTTCAACAGACTGATTTCGCCAGACAATAACAATTGTAACTTTATGAGCAGGACCCTAATTATAAGTTGAGATATGGGTAATTAAATAACAATTTCACTTCTTGCTTTAATACATGTATTAGAGTTGAGGAACCCCCATTTGATATTGAACAAATGAGTCCAAGACTTGAAAGGCAGCACGTATCTGTGTAATTATGTAGAATATTTTTTAAACTTGTGTAAATCAAGTTCATAAGTTAGTTGAATGTTAATGGTCTTATTATTAAAAGATACTGTTTAAAGTATAATTGATAAATACATTTTAACTTTTATTCTTGCAGTTTGAACTATATGTATATAGTATATATATAATATACACACATACATATTATTTATTTCTGAGTAAACTAAAATCAGATGGGTTGAAATTTGTTAAATTGAATGGCCTTAGAGCTTGCTAAATTAATGTTTTGTCAAATACTTTATATTGATTCAATGTTGCTTTAGACTTCTTCTAAAGTTCCCTGATTTTCTCAAGTTTGACAGCTAAGTTTTTGTTGTTTTGACTCTTGAGGAGTATCTTGTTGGTATTCCTTCCTTGCATCTAACTCAGGGTACATATATAAACCCCTGAAAGCCCCTTTGAGGGACTCAGTGAGAGGATTCCAGAGCCTTACAACCACCACATCTTTAATTTGAAAAATTTCCTGGACACTTTGAGGATCATAGGAATGCACGGGTTAGATTCCCATCATTGTGTGAAGCCAGCTATGAGTGGTAGACAACAATTCATTTCCTTTTTAACCAGTCCTGAAAGTATTTTACTTTCCCCTAACCACCAACCAATTAATTTGCCTAACACTTGCTGGCCCTGGGACACTGCTCTCATAACACCCTCTCACCTAACTCAGTCATTAACTAGGTTAGGGGAGCTTTTCTCTTGTAAATGAGTCCCCTAAGCATTTTCACTTTTTTTTTTTCCTCAAAAGAAAACTGTGCTTTTTTAACTTCATATGCAACTGACAGTATTTTTTCTTGAAATATGAAAAGAAGGAAAGAAATATTCTAACATCACTGTGAACTGGTGAAAATATTTTTGCCTGCACAGACATATCTATTCAGGGAAAGCTTTAGCACGTGTCAAAGGAAGGAGTAATTTAAATATTATGGTGCTCCACTTTATAAACTGATGGTTCTGTAACAGCTTAAGTACTGCCCATGATTTTGTTTAACTCATCTCAGGTCCAAAATAAATGGGAGGTCAAAATAATCACACACTCATTCAGCTTGAACATTAAATCTTGAGCACAATTAAGGCTGATTTATGCAGTTCTAGGAAGGATCATGAAGAATCACCTAAAGATAGGGCTCACCTGAGTCTTACTGCAAAGCTTGTTTGTGTAGCCACAAAAACAGCTAGAATTGTCCTAGTCAGCTGGAAAGCATGAGCAGACACACTTTAGCTATGATAAAAATAAAGTCAGATGAAGACAAGTTGTTTTGTCAATACTGGCTGCTATGGCAGATACTGAATCAGCTATTCTACTTTTTATGATCACAGTAGATCTAAATGACATGGTGGTTTGCAGAGTGGTTGAAGTAATAGATCCATGCTCTAATCATTAATTATTTGCATAATGTCACTTCTAGATGAGAATTTCCTTACCACGTAGAAGGGCAATGAACGAAGGCATTTTCAAATTAGGAAAGATGACAACAATTAGGGAATTAATTACATTTTTAAGAAATAGATTATACTGCAAAGATGAGAAATACAGAGAAAGACAGAGGAGGCATACATATGATTTCTTTTAACGTCTATAAAGAGATCAAAAGAAAAATAAAACGTGTTTTAAGGGAACAGGGAATATGAAATGTCCACACAAAATGTTTCCTCTGCAAATCACATCAGCCCTCTGCTTTCTTTGGCTCATATTGATGACACTAACATGAAGCGAAGTTCAAGATCCAGTTTTAGTCTAAGAGTCTCTTTTAAAAGGACAATCTACTTAATTTTTAATGAAGGACATGAGATAGCAATCAACAGGAGAACCACCAAAGAAAAAAAATTAATACTGTATTTTCTCTGACATTTAACATAAAAAGTCTGTGAAGTTTCACATTCTGTCTAGTAACGGGTAACAAAGGACATCAAGAAGAGAAATGAATAACAAATTTTTGCTGGCATAATTTTTGTGCAATTAAACTTTTGGAAAAGAACAATTTAGGTAGGTAAAGAAATAATCTTAGCCAAATTAAGACGGAAGACTCAAAACAGACTGTAAAAGTACTTTATCTATGAAATGAAGGAAGAGTTAAATATTTAAGACTAACTGCTACTTATAAATTGAGAAAATGAGACAAAATACCCAAAACCTTTATGACATGCAAATTCACACACTTTTGAAATCGTCACTCTAGTTTCTAGATAGCAGAACAGTCAGTTCAAAAGTTGACTGATAGGGTCTTATTAGGTATCATCAGGAGGATTCAGAATTAAGAAGGGAATGTCTCAGTTTAGCATGTAAAATGTAAGTTTTCCAGTTTTCACAAATGACAAATATTAACAAAAAACAAACAACAAACAAACAATCCACAAAATTGCCTCCAAAAAAATTCCATCTCAATTTTTCTGAATTTAATAAATTGCAGTTTCTGATTTAAGAAGTTACATTTTGCAAGTGAAAAGGCAATAAAATATGAGAATAAGTTTGATTAATTGGAAACTATTAAGGAAACACTTCCTATTTCTAGCTACACTTGTCATGTCCCCAGCTGCATTTAAGCTCCTTTGCAACTTGAGTAAACATAGCCCAAAATCTGTGCTGAAATTTCCCATAGCTGTATAGGCTTGCAAAAGTTACTAATTTTTTTCCAAAGCATTATTTAAGTGCAATATCAACATATATTCATATACTTCTGTGTCAGACAGTAAGAACAAATTATACACCTCAAAACAGGCATTGAGAGACATCTGAGTATGGATCAAATACTACAGAAAAAAATGTTGCTACATTTTAAACTATGTATTTAAAAAGAAATGCAGATTTGCTTTACAAATTTCACCACTAAAATCTTTGTGTATTCACTATTACAATGTCAAAAATACAATAGGAAAATGTGATGATTTTGCCAAAATCCTGTTACCTGTGTGTCAGCAGCACCCTGAAAGCCATCTGATTCAGTCCCAAGTAACCTGGCAGCAAGCTTGACCAATCCCAGTTCCATTCAGTAATGGCTGACTGTTGATACATGGAAAGAAGCTAGTTAGTTATTAATCAGCATCAATACGATCAGTACATTAAAGCTCCAGCAGCTACATACTAACCAAATAGGGTGGTCTAGAATGAGGAGTTAGAAAGATGATATCAATCGTATCCACAGAAGAAGTTTTTTATTCCAATCAAATGGCAATTAATTAATTACGGACATAGCCACTGTTTAAAAAAAAAAAATCTGGTTTTTTAACCATTATTCTTCCAATTGTTGATAGCATTCTGATCAGCTACTTTGTCTGAGAGCTTTATTCTTTGTACAAAAAGCAAAATAGTTGGTAACTTTTTATGTAACAGCAATATGCATTGTCTGCCGTCAGCAAAAATTATGTAATGAAAAATTTGGTATAGCTGGAATTCAAGAAATAACCTGTATCATAATTAGAGTGATTTAACACTGTATTATAAACAGCATTAAATCTAGAAAATATGAACAAGTATAACTCCACATTGCTTATTTAATAAACAAAAGCAATCTACATAATCAGTGGGCAGACAAAAGACCATACACAACATTCTTATTTTTAAAAAACAGAAAATCCTATTGCATAATATTCCTTATCACTGTCAGCAATCGTCAAGTAGTGACTATAATTTGATCTTCTTGGGAGGAAAGAAGTACAAAGTTATTGTTGTAACACTGAAACAGCACTGAGTAGTAAAAAAAATGTTTAAGCGAGTCAAAACAATGGAAATAAACCTAAATAATAGTAAAGTATAATTTGGAGTACATCTTTTTCTTCTTACAGTCAGCACTCGGCTCCTCTGGGAGAGCAGAGTCACTGCAATCCTTCCTATTCCTTCCATCTATATTTTATCACTTTCCTTCTCCTTACTTAATTTACTCCCTATCCCTCATCTTTGCCATGCATGTTAAAGTAAAGTAGAAAAACAAAGGTGGAATACAGAGTATGAAGAGGAAATAAAGGTAACAAGAAAAAATAAAATACTGAGAAAGCAGAAAGTGAATGAATAAGAATAGGTTCATCGTCAGTGCTCTGGCATCTTCTACAGGCACTGGCAATAATTTTCATTTGAAAGCAGACATTCAGCTATACTTATCAGTTTTATAAATGGACAGTCCTACACCACTAAATAAATGTACAATTTAATGGTAAAGGGAACTGAACTATTTAATAACAACATTAAACTTGGAAATAGAATCAGAGGAGAGAATTATAGAATGATTGAGTTTTGAAGGGATCACCATGTTCCAACCCCTTGCCATGGGCAAGGTACATCTTTCACTAGACTAGGTTTCTCAGAGCTCTGCCCAGACTAGCCTGGAACACTTAAAACAGATGGGGCAACCACAGCTTCTCTGGGCAACCTCTTCCACTGCCTCGCCACCCTCACCAGGAATAATTTCTTTCTAATATCTAAGCTAAAGCTACTCTCTGTCAGTTTGAATACACTCCCTTTTGTCCTGTCACTACATGCTCATCAAAAATGTCCTTCTCCATCTTTCTTGTGAGTTTCCTGCAAGTACTGCAAAGCTGCAATTAGGTCACACCAAAGTCATCTCTTTTCCAGGCCAAAAAACTGCAATTATCTTGGCCTTTCTTCATAGGAGAAGTGCTCCATCCCTCTAGTGATTTTGCTGTTCCTCCTCTGGACTGGCTCCAACAGCTCCACGTCCTTCCTATGCTGAGGACCCCAGAACTGGATGCAGCACTGCAGGTTGGGTCTCACCAGAATGGAGTAGAGGAGCAGAATCCCTTGACCTGTGGGTCACGTTCCTTTTGATGCAGCTCATCACACAGTTGGCTGAGCATTGGAACAGACACCCCAAAGAGGCTGCTGAGTCTCCCTCACTGGAGATACTCAAGAACCATGTGGAAATATTCTCTGCCCATGTGCTCTAGGATGACCCTGCTTGAGCAGGGAGGTTGGACCAGATGACCCACTGCGGTTCCTTCCATTCTCACCCATTCAGTGGTTCTGTGATTCTTGAGTGGAAGGTCCCTTTCAACTCAAGCTATTCTATTATTCTACTGATTCAAAGTAGCATAGTTCTCTGGAGTGAGAAGTCTTGAGCAGCCTCAAGACTGCCAATATTGGTATATATACTGGTATATATATAGTCTCTTTTTTCAGGATATTAACACTTCTATTGCAACACGACAAAATGATTAAGCATTCATTAAACAAGTAAGAAAAACAAGTATATTTTACAGCAATATAACTGATTAAATAGACCAAAATAATCGAAACTGGAGAGATTACACTGCATATAAGCAGGGCTGCACTGAAAAAGGATGCATTTCCACACAAGTCTGTAAAGCGAATTTCATGTCACCACAGCATCACATTTTTTCAACTATTTGATTTGACTGCTCGGATCAAAAAAGCTGGTGATATATTAGGAATATATGAGAAAAAATGGCATGAGATTTTTTTCAGTCTAAAAGTGGTATCAGAAACTATTTAGCATTTTGTGCAATGATGTGGTCATGGAGTGCTCCAGCAGAGATTTAGGCAACTAGATCTCTTTTCTTTAACTGTTCCATTATCATGAAACTAAATTCTATAAGAAAATTGTAATCCTTTACATATTATAGGCATGACTTAAAGAAAACCAGAGAAATTTACGCTTTTGTGTGTGTGTTTTAACCCACATAGTCTCACTGTTCAGTAAAATCTTTGTATTTCTAAAGCATTCTTTACTTGACTGTTCAACATATCTATGAAAGTCCCATGAGGAAGATTATAAATGTGAACTTAGAGTTCTGATAAGATTTTTCAAAGGACTAAGACTAACCCTATGTACTATTGTACAGATGCAATAAAAGTCATTGCCATTATGGTCTTTCCCTCTGTATACTGAACACAGAAAGTGTAAGTAAATGCAAATTGCTCTTGCAATATTTCCGAATCAAAGAATGCAATAATTCCAATCAAAGAAAAGGCCAGTAATGTCTTTTTGAACATCATGATATTGTAGAGGGTACCCTCATTACACTCCCACAAAATAATATTCCTTTCTGCTTCATTAGATGTGAACACACATAAATAAGTCCATTTTCATACATTTAGTCTTTGTCATTACCATGATCATAATAATACCAACAAGTAAAATTATACTATAACCAAGGTTTCAGATTTTCACAAACCTGATTGAATAGTTTTGCATAAGACTGTCTGTACACCTGGAAAGGGTTGAAGACAGGCTGCTCTTCTCTGCCCTTCAGCGTCAAAGGCAGACATTGGCTCGAGGTAACACCATCTTCAGAAGAATTCTCACAAGACAGCTGCTCTTTCAAATATTCCTTTTGGAAGAAAAAGCAACCACAGAATAATACAGGCCACCTAGCTTTCTACATGAAATTTGCCTAGATTTCAAGCATAAGCTTGAAAGATAGAAGTTCCTTTTAATACAGTGGGGAATTAAAAATCTCTTAAAAAATAGAAACCTTTTTAAAAATATTGCCATTTTACAATGAACAAGAAATAACCCCAGAAAACATGCACCCAGCCTGAGCAAAACAGAATAATCTAATCTATTGCTTTACAATTCTTGTCAAATTACACGTATAAGTTCTCATTTAACATGTGTGTATATATATATATATATACACACATATAGATATATATATATGCTTGGTATATGTAGAAGTGAACAACAAGTATTTTTCATGTATTTTGAATTAAACTTTTTGGAAAACAGTCAACCATTACTATATTGACTATAAATCAATTCTTTGATTAACATGTTGTAACCATGTTATTTAAGCACAGGAAATAAATATTCTCACACTCTTGAAAGCTATTTTTAGCTGCTTAAACATTCAAGGACTAGAAGCAGTATGATTTGCATCGCAATTTTAGAAACTATAGTGTAACAGATGCATTATTATTTTGGACACCATCTTTTCTGTTTTCACTTCTTCAACTACTACGTAAATAAATCATCATTGCAGGCCAATAAAGTGTTTTGATTAAACAGAACCATTTTATGAAGACCTAGATAATAAAAGATTTACGCATCCATTTGCTGGAATAACTACTGTGATTAAACAGTTTGTTGTTATTAAAATGAAGTCCATTACACGGAGCAAATACTCAAGGCGAGTCATTTAGGATGGGTGAATGCAAATGCTGCTCTTATTTGCAGTACTACTGAGATGGAATAACAGGCAAACTACCTACCAAGGCATCCTGTGGCTCTCAGTAGTTCTTTCTAAAAGAAGAATTTCATCATTTGTTTAAACTTACCCAATTATGGCCACACCTGAAAGGCACAAATTCAGTTTCAGGCCACACAGACTGTAGCTGTTTCTCCCTTGTGCTGGCACTAGCATATGTTGTGAAATCAACCAGGGAAAAAAAAAGGTTTCATCCAGATAAACAAGCCACATGATTTCTAGTACTAGTACAAAGGGAGGGCCTAAGAGTGGAAAAGCACAAGGGCAAGAGAAAGAGGACTGTCTCTCTGCTGGTTGTAATCAAATGTCATGACCAAGAGAATCACGAAATTGCCTTAGTGTATGGAAAAAAACCCCAACAAACCAAAAGAAGAAAAACAAATTGACCTTTTTTTCTACTTAAAACAATATCACAAAGCAACTGTTAAAACATACCGTCTTTTAGCTATTTTTACTCACCTTTTCAAAAATATCTGGATTTTTATTTCCCCATTCATTTATTCATTCACTACTTTATGCCATAACAAAGATTCAGAGCCATGGTGAAGGAAGTTATTTAAAAGCTATTTCTGTACATCTACCAAACTTCCATAAATGTACTGCCTTCCATGTACACACTTCTACAAAATCTGTAGACTAAAGCAACCCAGCCCTCTGGATGTAACAGAGCCAGCAGAAGCAGATTGTGTTGCTTTTTCAGAAGCAATACTGGAAATAGCTGTCCATGTGTTGCCAGATGAAGAACTATTTGCTCAACTGGTGGGAAAACACAATGCTTATTTTGCAAAACCAGTAGTCTACAGAATGGCACAATATGTATTCTGTAGGATCATGTTGGCCATTAACAAAATAATGAACCAGCCTGGGTATGCTATCTCAGCTCCCTTTTTGGAAAGAAACACCAGTTCACTGAACGGGAAACTTTGGGATCTGGGACCACCAGAGACCACCAGAGGGACCCCCGGGACAGAAGAACACATGCACAAAATGGGGAGGGCATGTTATGGGTCTCCAGGAAATTATTATTATATGTATGGTTCGTTCTGGGAAAATCAATGAATATGTATGTAAAATACAGTATATAAAGCAGGAGCTTTTCTGTACTTGACATGCACAACTCTGCTGGAGATATCCCTGCAGCATCTGGTGCTGCAATAAAGAATGTCTGCTTCTTAATGCTACAGTGGCGTTAGGAAGGAGATTTTGACCAATTTTGGTAACACCTGCTTACCAGAGTTTGAAAAATTCAAGCTGAATACTGTAAAGGTATTGTACTATCTTTAATAAAATACTATAGATTTGGTTTTGATGAAGAGACGTATTCAACAATGGTAAATATATTACATTAAGATGCCCTTTAGCACAGTAAATATCCTAGGCTCTGAAAAGGTCATGATTCAAAAATGTGAAAATATGAAATCACATCTGTAAACACGTGAACTATATCCTCAGTACACGAACTGGGCATCAAACCAAGTATACAGAATATTATTGAGCCTGACAGAAGAGTTATCTCTTTGGTTGTCATTACTAAAAAATTATTTTAAAAATTATTATTATTTTTGGCAAACACATGAAAGGCTGTAAGCTGTTCTGAGTACCACAGTAACTGCTAAAAATTTTTATAACATCATATCTTTATGTTCAAATCCAGCTTTGAAGAATCCATATCGCTTTTCATCTGCTTTTTTAAAGCATATTACTAAAACCAACAATCTTCTGTTTCATCATTTTGTTTTTACACATGAGTACCAAGCAGTGTAGCATAAAGATCTCTAAATTATTTTAAGAACACAATCCTTTGACATTCCTAGGGGTCTTTAAACAAAGAATGGACCTTTGAATACACAATCAAATCTATTTCTTGGTAAGCAGGCACATAAAACATAATTTAGATTTTAAAAAATAATATTGAAAGTGCATAATCATAACACCATGCTAAACACTAAAATGTTTTGTAATGGTTTCAAAGGCATTTGCAATTAATACAGTTAAATCCTTCTGTAACTCAAGCTGGTCAGGACCTCTCTTCTTCATTTTTAAAACAATACAGTTTTTTCCACTGAGAAATGTTCTAATTTTAAGAAGAATTTTACTAGCTGCAGAAATTCAAGGAGACACCTGGGATGTGGAAAGTCAGGCTGTAGTCCCTTTTCCCCCTAATTCTCTTAGCCTCATACCTCCTATTGGAGCTGCTCCACTTTGTATAAATAACCGAATACTCACAGGAGTCAGATCTTAGATCGGGGTCTCCAAAACCCAGGATGTGTATTTTATTCCTTCAGCTACAGTATCATTCTATTTTTGACCCTAAAAGTTACAGAATGCATTTTTACCACTATTTCCACAAGGCAAAACAACTCCAACAGGGGAAAAAGAAGGAGCTCCATGCTGATAGCTGTATGGAGGTTTCGGGAATTAGTACAGTATGTATAGTATGGAGGTTTGGGGAATCAGTTCAGATGTGGGAGATGCAGATTCAATTCCCTGGTATAAACTAGGAAGTATATAAGCCTGCATATGCTGTCCCCTAGGTAACTGTCCTAACTCCTGGACTATATGCTATTTTTGGTGGTCTTTTCCAGACTCCTTTATAGCTAAGAGTAATCTTGAATGTGCTCCAGGTGAAGAAGTTTTGTTTATTACAGTAATAATTTTCACTTCACTTCCTAAACCAGTTAATTGTTCAGGAAATTGAAACGTGAAATGATTCCACACTGTACTAATGTAAGGTTGTCATCTCTGCATATATGCTTACATTGCTTCTGATGCTTCCAAAGGCAGATTCATAAAAATTGTTTTTAAGCCTAGGAACTAAACAATTGGATCCTATTTTCAGAAGCACAGCGTGAGTACTAAGGTGCTCTCTACGGCCTTTCTACAGACATAGCTATCCAAGTCAGGGTTTTCTAATATCAAGTTTTTCAGAGGAAAAATCCTGGCCTCTGCCTATATTTGCATTATTTTGTATTTTGTTATAAACACATCTGTACACTTGCAAGGGTCGTAAAACACCTGCTTATGCATTCAAGGAATTTAGTAATTAAAACTAAAACCAGAACTTTCTAAATTAAGTTGTGTTACTGTACAATTTAAACAAACCTATGTTTATTTCAGTGAATAAAATCAGAATGCTTTTGGTAACTTGGGGCAATTTAGGACAGCCTTAGAAACAATGCGATTATTCCTTTACATTACCAAAATTCCATATGCAGCAAATAAATCTGAATTTGTAACTTGTAATTTTAAAAGCACTGTAGCTGAACAGAATTGTCTAATTTGAGTAAGATTTCATTTACTTCCTCAGTACAGCCATAGGGGTTGCTTTTTTGTTTAAATTAAGATAGTTAACCAGGTGTGATTTTACCTTTGTAACAGTAAATTCTTCAACAGCCTCCGGTGATTTTTTAATTTATTTTTTTTACTGTGCTCAGACTCCTTAAATGAATCTTTGGTCTACAACATGAAACTGAAGAAAGTTTATGAGCCATCCTACTGTCTAAGTACCTAAATAAAATCGACAGTAAAATAATCTTTTCTGTAGAAATGCACAAAAGCCTAAACTGAAGGGATTATATTAGAATACAATATAGGATCTATAGTGACTTTAAGAACTATTATCACCTCCTTGACTAACCCTTAGCTGCCAGCAGATGTTGCCTCAGGCCAGTACACACCTAATTGGTCTGTGGAAAGGCCGTTTCCCTACCTCATTGAGCCGGATGATGTGATAAATTTGCCTCAGGTACTCACTACCACCTGGTTTGTGGCAGATATCCAGGACCATCATGTTTATATTATGCTCAGAGAATCCAAGTGCAATACCTCCTTCCGCTAATGTTCCACTTCTAACTGTAACTGAGGCACTAGAAGACAGAAAAGATACAGTCCTAAGTTAAATTTACAAAGAGCAAAATATTAACATGAACTCAGCCAGAACTACATGTGCAAAAAAACCTGGAAGTACTTGACTTAGACATATGTTGTTTTACATATATCTCTCACATAATATGTATTAAACAACAGTATTATACTAATTTTAATCACCTTAATAAGAAAGATTAACACATAAAACACTCTTTAAGGATACAGAAGTAGCAAATATTTTCATTTTCCCTAGAGAAGTATCTTTGGTACTAGAAATGGCATTTACATTCGATCTCTTGTGCATTTTTCTTTGCCTGTCACAGCACATATTAAAATCTAATTAAGATGTCAGAAAGGGAGCCATTACTCTAAGTATAGGTTAGAAGTTTTAAACTGAAGTAGTTTTCTTTCCACTGGTATCTTGTTAACCATTTAAAAGGTACCTATTTGCCACTTGTTGCATCTTTTGCCCTATACCGTTCCTTGGGGCTTTTTTTGTATTTGTGTGAAACTTCTACCAATGAAAATATGAAGGTGACATTCCCAAAACACCTCCACAATTGTGCATTCAAATTTCTGATCATTGTCAGACTCTCTGTATAAAACCACAAGTTAATATCTTAGTACTGCTACCAAGAAGTCTAAGAAAGGAGAAGTACCAAAATTTTACTCAAATACTAGAGCTGCAGCACAGGTATTTGACATGTATGTGTCAAGAACTCAAAAGATTAACAATATTATATTGTCCTTTCTACAGACACTGTTGGATTAATTTAATATAAACTAAGGAAGCATTATCAGTTAATTAAAAATCAGTATTGTATTTGTTTAGAAGTAAAACAATAAACAAAACTAAACTAAAAAAATGCCAAAAACCTGAAAACAAAACCACTCTGCTTGCAGTTTACTGTTGAAAGTGTGCCATGGTTACAAAGTCACTCCTTCTGAAAGTTGCTGTTTGACCTACAGGCTCTCTGAAATACTGCACAGCTGCTGGACATTAAAGCTGATATTGCTTCCACATGCAGTTTCAGAATGTCCTACAGAGCAAATAGTTTCAAAATATAAACTATAATTTTGTTCTTTACTGAATGTAAGTAAGTGATACTATGTTATTATGGTGTACTTTACAGAAACGCTTCAAAGAAATTGATCTTTAAATTAAAGCACACTTAAGGCTGATATTTGATGCCACATACAGATACAACCTGAATTTCTTGTCAAAATTCTTAGCAACCAACATTGAAAAAGCTAAGGACCTCGGACAAAGGAATGTATCAGTGCCAGCACCTAAATTGTATTCTTTACTGCGCAGGTGAAGCAGATGATTGGATTCAGGCAGCACTATGATTAATGACTTCCTTTCTGGATTTGGGACTGCCTATCAATCATGTCATTAGCAACAATGTGCCCTGAGAGAGGCAGGCCTCAGCCAAGGAATAACTGCATTCATCTTAATCTGTATATGCACCCAGCCAGCAAGGTCAGGGTCACCATGATGAAAAACAATAATCTTCAATTCGACAAATTACTTTGCAAAGACAGACGCTTCTTTTCTTCCCAGGATGTGTGTTTTTTACAATCTAACTTGACTGTTTACAGCTCTGGTGCTACCATAAAGTGAAGGTTACTTCAATGAATAGTAATACTTACAGGAAGTACAGAAGACAGGCAAAGAACCTTTGTGGTTTTCTGAACCTTTCAATGAAGGCTATAATTTTTGAAAGATTCTTTAAAATTAAGTTAATACATGCTATTTAAACTTTTTATGTAAATAGCAATCCTGATAATAGTAACATAACACAAAATCAAGCAAGAATTTTACTTACAAAAACCCACCACACTTCAAAAATGTTTTTATGGCTGTGTAGGTGAGTCCCAAACAAATTTTTGAAATTTATAGGTTTTTTATCTTTCCTATGTATCTATTAAAATTCTATAAGCATTTATAAATATGTATACATATATGCACATGCATCCAGCTAAATCAGAAAATAATTTGATTACTGAATAGTTACATGGCACCAATACAGTACATAGCATACAATTAGAACGTAGTCATTTCATTCATGAAAATGATAAATCTCCTCTTGAAAGATTGTTTTTAGTTTAGTAATTATGTGGCCACTAATTACTTTAACTGAACATTTGAATTTCAGCTCTAATATATTAGTTTTGTACTTTGCATTTATAATAACATTAATATCTAGATTTCATATCTCAGGTACTTATAAACTGGATCTTTTTTTCCTGCAGATATTGACTCATAACATTTGAATGAAAAGTGGAAAAACAATATTCCTATTAGATTTCTACCGCAGAAATGCAACTGAAGTCAGGGGAGTCAACTTCATAATTGCATCAAATAACTGCTCACTTGGAGAACAGGCAATGTATTCTTCATTCTCCTAAGTTTAAAATTACCAGGCCTAGTCACAAGCTAGTTCTTTCTTTGCTTGACACTGCAGACATACAGAAACATTTTCCCATGTTTACTTTCCACAATCTGATATATAAATGTAACACAGCATTTTTGTGGTATTATACAAAAGAAAATACAGTAGTATATTAACTTAAAATTCTCAGCTTCTGAAGATGTGCAAATTAACTCAAGTTTTAGTTTTTAGAGGTTATCCACAATATCATCTTCCTGTATTTGTATTTTTAAGAAGTACCTATTCTCTCAGCGACATTAGAAATTGTATTATGGGACCATTGTGTTAAGCATCAATTTACAAATTATCATTATGCTTTTTTATTCTACAAGTACATCACTCACTGGCATCTGGTTACAATCTTTTATTCACTGGATTAGATCACGTAAATTAGAATTAAATGGAAATGCAAAGATTGCAAAGGTCAGCGTCAATGATTGTTTGTGTGACACTATTACTGCTTACCACATTTATTAACTGACTACTCATAGAAACAGGACACTGTCCCTTAAAGCACTGCATGAAGAAAGTTCAGTGGTATGACTGATTCCAACCTACAATCAGTGTATCCTTTGTCTATAGGGACAAATACTGACATGACAACAACTGCAACCTTCAAGAATACTAATTTTAAAAACTGGCAATCTTACTTTCAGCAGCAACCATGTAATTCAGTAAGTCATGTTATTCCAATCAATCTAATATTGCAAAGTTGATGAATAGTACATTTTTACAGAATGATACATGACTGCAACATTAAAACAGACTGGCATGTACACACTGACATGTACACAACTCCGTGAAAAATCACTGTAAAGATCTTAATGTCAAATCTGAAGGAAAAAATTGGTATTTTCTCAGAAAGGCACAGCAGGATATTATTCTTGTCCTGTTTTGATACACCCTATTTGCCTCAGGGTTTGATATGTTTTAGAATAAAGTACGCTTAATTTTTATTCACAGATGAACACTGAAAGCTTCTCACAGCTCCTCTTAATTTAATCACCATAGTAAAATTAAATTATAAATATATTTAGTATCTGTTCATATTTTGAAAGATATAACAATAGACTTGTCCATATTTTTGGTTCATCAAGATAACATGAAATCTTTTAATACTATGAACATACCATTCTGATAAAAAAACATGTTTTATTGTTTCAGAAATGAACTTAAATTACAAACCCATGGTATATCAATATTAAGGACTAATCTCTTTCATATAAGATCACTGCTCATCTCTTTTCCTTAAAATTGAGCAGTAGACATAAACATGCCAATAATCCAGTAAAATAAAGAGCAAATAATAGCATTTGAAAAATACTATATTCTTACCAATCTATGCTCAATTTTCTTGCCTTCAGCAACTGGCTTTCAATCCAGTTTGGTCTTTGCTGCTCAATGCTTTGTATAATCTTCTGGGTCACTTGCTTAGGACCACTTTTCTGTTTCCCCATAATACTTTCTAAGCACACACGAACTAAACTGAGTTTTTCTTTGCTCCATCTGTCAAGTGTTGCACCTGTTAAAAATTCTGCAGTATTTCCATCCTCAAATATTCGACATATAATTACAATCAAGTTCCAGACAAGCAGACCAGCTTTCTTCAATTCAGCAAAGTTTCTTGACATTTTTCTCTCAGCCAGAAAAAAGAAGTATTTAACTGGGGGAGGCAAACATGCAATCACTGTAGGTAACTTGCTGATTACAATAGATACTGCTTGAGCTGCAAGCCTTGTGAAGCCTTAAAAATATAAAGAAAAGATTATGTGATTAACATTAACAGTTCAGCTCTAACTGCTTCTGAATGTTGTATGTTAATTTTTAACTTTCTTTTGTTCTGAAAATGGGTAAAAAGCTTAAGTACTCAACACTGTAGTTTCACTTGTATTATGCTATGTGCACATAAAACCCACAAAACTCAAATAATTACATTAATTAAAAGCAGAAAATTTAAAATTTAGACTGTGACTCTTAACAATTAGTCCTGCTGTGCACAGTCATTACAGGATTAATGAGAAGGACTGTACTCAGGTATTCTGAATGGTAAACAGTTGTCTTCAAAATTGTAGTATTTTTTCAACTTCACAGCTGAAGCATTACACTAAGTGTATCACAATATTACACACATTTATAATCTCTAGTTTTTTATTAATTCCTTTCTATGTTCAAAATGACAAAACTTCAGTTTATCATCTTTCATATAAGCATTTACAATAAACAGCACTGCATTTTAAAGACCCTAGATAATAAAATTAGCTATAAAAGTAACTACAGAGAAATTGTGCTGCTCAAAACCCAAAACATATATAAAATGAAAAATATAGCAAAAGGTGTCAAGATTTAAAAAAGCAACAATCTCCAAACAAGAAAACCCTGTGTAATTGCACCTGCATTCTAAAATCATTAAATTATTAAAAAAAAGAAATCGCATCTGTTCTAGATATCACACATCCAAATTTAAATTTTCTTGAACCTAGACTCTTACCTCTCAGTTTGCATATCAGTTCACATATAGCAATTAGCCTAAAATAGCCATACAAAAGTTCTAGATTAAAATGAGAGTGCAGTGAAGATGTATGAAAAAAAATAATGGATTGATGCCCTGGCTTGGCCACAATCTACATACTCAAAACTGTGCCAAATATACTACAGTACTGAAAATAATCAGGTAGTATTTTGGTGGCAAAAATTTATCATGAAACATTTCCATAAATTAGCCTTCTGAACCACAACCTGAAATGACAGATGCTTTAGGCACTGTGGGCTATGAAAATACATACCAGAAATCACCTTTACATCTAATCGCCTTCAGAACACCTCCTGTTCTGTATGATTTCTTTCTTCCTTTACTAACTGTTTCAACAACCAAGCAGCAGCATATTCCACAACAGTTTCAGTGCTTGTTTTGTTCAAGCATAAATTGCTGTGTTGTAAAGTTGGGGTGAATGACAGTCCCGAATGAAAAGTTGATAACAGAAAGGAAAGCTGTTTACAGCCATTGAGGCCAAAGTATAGGCATTATTCTTCACTTTGTTTTGAATCCCATTTGACTACTGCCAGATGCTGGAAACATCTCCACTACTATTATCACCAATACTAAAATGCTGATTATTTTCAAAACCTTGTTTGTACATGTATGGGTGTAAGCCTCAGGAAAGAATAACTAAAGTTTAATGGAAAGTATTGAAAACACCCCAACCACCACAGGAGGTTTGGAAATTGTTTGTTCATTGCAAAGCTACAATATTCACATAATTTAACTGCCCAGTTTTGCAGTAAAGGACTTAAAATTTCTTATGAGAAGCTTAAAGGATGTATTATACATATATAAATATTATGCATAAATTTCACTTACATTTCCCAGATTCTTTTCTCTTCATTTCCCGAGGAGTGTAATTCCATTCCTTTGGAAGAGTTTTCAGTAAACCTTCAGGAACTATTTGCTTGTGCTGGTATGTTCCATAGTTTTCTGTTGCTTCCCATGAATGCATCAAAGAAATTATTTGTTTCACTATACCCTTCACCGAATTAATCAAAGTCAACTTCAAGCATCTGATAACTTCTGGCTCCGACTCACCACAACTGGAAACTTCAGAAGGAAGAACTATTAACTATTCAGTAAGTGTTGTGTGAATCTGTTTCATAAAGTGTTTTCAGAATTCTTATGGAAAAAAAAGATATAATTTTAATTATATAAAATATCATTATCATTTTTATCATTATATCATGTTAATGATATAAAATATATAATTATGATGTAATGGTATTATATCATAATAAATTAGACCTATTTGTCTGTTACAAATTAAGAAAGAGTATAATGCAAAACATATGGTATGTTGGTACCATCTTAATACAGTGCTGACAAAAAAATCAATTTATTTCCTTCATTCTCATTTCTCCACTGATATATTTATAAAACTTCTATTTAAGATTATTGATGTCTTCCTTTTTATATGGGAAACATTTAAGTACATGTTAGGTATCAGTGAGGCAAACAGATACACCTTTTTTCCTACTTTCTTGTCTTGAAATCATTAATGAAGTTGCATTTATTAGACATGCAAACTGCTATACCACACACAGTAAAGGAAAAGAAAGGTATTTTGGAAACAAAAATACATACAAATAATAGTTATCAACTGAAACACAGCATGTCATCAGAAATTGCATGTTCAAAACACATCATCCTAAATACAGTTATTGACATTACAAGAAGTATCAATCTTCTCCACATTCGTAATACCACAGCAAACTGCAGTTTCTTCATAGTCATGGAGCTGCAATTGTCAGACAGAGTATTGCAGAGCATTTCAGAGATGTTTTGACATGTTATATCTTTAGATACTTTGCTCATACTTTTGCTTCCCTCTACTTTTTGCTGATCTAATCATGGTCTTTCTGGGATCTTCCATGCACCACTTCTCTGTTTTTCTTCCTCTTATGTTAAATTTCTACTTCTTGTAATCCTATTTTTCTCTGAGAAGTATCTGAGCACTTTTATCATTGTTTTCTATTTTGTGATGCTCATAATTCTATTTCCCCTCCTTCATTCTCCCATTTTTTTCCTCTTCTTTTGAGCCCTTCTGCTTTTAATCAATAATTTGCAAAATCACCCTTCTAACGTCACCTCTCTTTTCTGGATGAATACTGTTTTTCCTTGAGGATGGAATTAGTTTTCTAATTGTGAGGCCAGCTCTCCCCCTCAACAGAAAATTAAGGGGCTAAATGCCTGTTGACAATAGAGACTAAATATTCATCAGATTATTTCTCCCTCAATAGGAGAAGAAGCCCTTCCTTCTCTCTTTCCACTCTTCTTTGATGTTTCCTTACTTTTAAATCGTGGCAAAGGCCTGGAGCTGTTTAATGCATAGAGATGAAGAACCTCTACTGGTAGAGACCTACAAAAACATTCTGCAGCCAGTCTGCTGTAAGACAAATACTTAATCAGACTCCTGATCTACAACACTGCTCTGGAATCTCTCCATTCTTCAAAATTTTAACCACTCCTACCATGGCCTCACTGCAAACTCCAAAAACCCTTCAATAACACCATAATGTTGAAGTAAGCTAATATACTTTCACCTGATTTATTATGTCTGAAAATGAATAACATTTAACATCAGATTTGAAATGCTTATTAATAAATTAATAAATGAATAAAAACCTGTCATATTGTATAAGCAGTTCCACAGCAGCTCTTTTTCCATGTAGGACTCAAAAGCAATGCCAAGAGATTTGGGTGATAAACTGCAGTAAGACAATACTGTGAAGATTGTTTCAATCAGAGAAGGTTCCTTGTTATTTTCCTGTTCCAAGAGAGAACTTTGTTCTTCACAATTTAATGCTTGATTACCTTCAAAATAAAACAAAAACATGGTTCCAATAATTTCCAAGTAATTTAAGGTCTCAGTAATAGATAATATTCAAAATTAACTGCAAATTCCATCTGACTAATATTTCAAACAATAACACTTACTGTCTTCCCGAATTATGTGTAGCCAATAATAAAAGAGACTTAAGCATGTTTTCAAACTATGGAATATATTTATTTAATTCAAAATTAAGTTGAAATTGATTCTAATTGGAATTCTATTACTTACTGAAGATTAATCATTAGATTAAGATCTAAACTGCAGAATCATAGTCAAAAACCTATTACTGCTTAACTCTTCCTTATATAATAGTCATATGAAACAATAAAATCCTATGTAGATATAAAAACTAAGAAAAGTAGCAGCTCCATATTCCCCAAAGTGTGCTGGCTTTGTTTTTCAGTGTTAGCTGAAACTCAGAATAAAACAGTTCTACAAAACAAAATCTCAGCTCTGCTAAAATACAGAATTTAAAGACAAGTAGTGATTATCATAGGGTTAAGCCATAACTTCTTTACAAATATTTACAAATATTTCTGACAATCAGTAAAATACAATCTCCCACATATAACACATAAGGATGTGTTTAAAACTCCAGGAATTAATACAATTCAATGACTTTGATTTGTGCTAATGTTGAAGAACTGAGCTTCCCACCTGTTTGTGAAATATGCTTCCAACCATAAGAGAACCAGAGCCATAACCTGTTAAATACTCTTAATTTAAATTTTTAGTTAGTAAAAACAGTGATTTCTATAAAAAATATTTAGATAAAATTATACTATAAAATGTCATTGCTTTCTACCAGTTTGGTTGTCTTTACCTTTAGCAACCTATGGAGGAGAAAGATGGGGAGTCTTCAAAATGTACCATAATGGAAAATCATTGCTTTCAACATATCTTTGAATTACTTGAGAACTAAAAAAAAATCTCATTTTACTCTCTTCTGAATTCCTACAACCTAATTCATGCACTACTTTAAATCATTTCATCTAGGTAGCATGCAATCTTAGCAGAACCAGAGGATGTAGAAAGCTGAAAAACACGATCACTGATTTAATAACCAACAATATGTGGGTTTTTTCCCCAAGGCAGCAGATAGATTTGCAATAAGACAGGTTTTTAATCAGCTTTCTTCTTCCTGTGAGCTGAGCTGCTTTCAATTCCAGATACTTCTAAGTGAAGAACCAAATGGATTCTACTTACTCACTCAACCAGGGATACATATGACATAGAACTAACCATCAAAGCAGAAAAAAGCAGTTCAATGGTGAAATGAAAAATCTGAAGTGAACTTTGTTTCTATTACTGTAAGTATTTATTTTTGAAATTAATTTAACCAAATTCTAGGGGGACTTTTGCTAAGATTTCAAGTACTATGTAAACTGCCTTTGAAGTACATGATGGGGAACTGGTTTGTTTAAAGGTGCACATGACTTGAAATTAAGCCTAAATTTGGTTTAAGACCATGCTGCATGGAAAGTTTAAGTCACAACCTACTAATAACATTTCAAATCAATTAGTGCTACCAAATGATTTAGATAAAGAGAAAGGAACATAAAAGAATTTTGTAGAAAGGGCTATAATACATCTTGTTATAACTACTGTATAATGCAACTCTTGTGCTTTTAAGCAAAGATCAGCGCAAATCCCCTACTAAATCATTCTGTGACTAAATATAACAAGGCATGTAATTATTCATCAGCTTTTTTTTGTTTTACCCTAAAGTAAATGTTATCCTAGTTGTAAGAACAACCTGAAAGCTCAGGCTAAAATCAGTTTCTGATTGCTAAATGGGCATAGATAGTTTGAACTCCAATGCAGCCTTCTTGTTAATTATTACATAGAAGAGAATTTATATTATAGGTATTGTACTTATTGTCCTGTGATGCTTCCCTCTATACACTTCTATTTTTTTCACTGACTGCATTTGTATAGCAAAAGCTAATTTGTGAAGGGAACCTAAAGCTCTCTTAGGTAGCTCAAAGGAGATGCTTCCATATTATTTTAGCAAGACTTAGCATTCAAAAATGTGACTATATATTTATCTAGATACCTGATAAAATAAAAAAATCAGCTGTTTGTTATTTCCATATACCATGATGTTCTATATGCACTACAGATACCAAAACATATTAGAATACTATTCTTTTTAATAAATATCTCTATAAGAAAATGATGTATCTATTGAATAACAGCTATTCCCTAACCACTCACAATGAATCATTCTTCCTATGACAAAATAATGCACTAAATCTCTTGGGATACTACCATGTATTTGAAAAGCATGACTTCAGAAAGGCAGAACTTACAAGTGCAATTTACCCATATTTCTTTCTTACCGGTAGAAATACCACCCAGTAATTAGCCAACATTATCACTCATCCAGCACTTATCTGACTAGTCTAGCCATAAAATGAGTCTTGCTGAATTCAGAAAATCCTGACTCTAGACCTCACACTCCCCAGTCAATCCATACACTACTGCCAAGATACAAATAGTTATGCTGTCTTTTTTGACCAAAAGAGGTAGTCAAAACTCAAATTCATACATGCTGTTTCATTTACGAAGAGGAATTGAAGATGGACCAAATTATTTCTGATACTGGTCTTTAATTTGCAAGGAGAATGAAACTTTTGCTTTCTTTATTGAATTTAAAGATGTCTTTAAACCACTGTAATGATAAGGATATAAAGAATGCAAAAAGGATATGCTTTATTTGTTTATAGAATCAAATACTTCAGCAGGCAGTCTGCGGTACACTACATCTTCAGTGGTGTTTCTGTCACTAACTTTTCTATCCCTTTACTGTATGTGACCTGGTAGTGCATTTTACTTTTCTTTCAGAGTTGCTCCTCTCCAATGACAGCTAAAATCTATTGTAACTTTGAACATGGCTTCATTTTGGCAGAAAGTGTATTATTTTAGTTTTAAATTCCAAAGAGAAATTTTACATTATAGATTCATGGAAGAGTCACAGAATACTCTGAGTTGGAAGGACACACAAAGCTCATTAAGTCCAACTCTTAAGTAAATGGCCCATATGGAGATCAAACCACAACCTTGTTGCTAACAGCACCATGTTCTAACCGACTAAACTAATCTCAGGGTCATATTACTCCTATCCTGTATAAAACCCAGATCTTAAACCTACCCATTTCAGTTTAACACATTCCAAATAATAATAAGCCCTGTATTAGCTGCTACCGTGAATCAAATAAATCCTAAATTTATGACAACTATAAAGCTCAACATGGCAAAAAAGCTTTAACAACACTTATATCATCTGTCCATAAATTGTTAATGTATCAGCAAACTATTTCTGTAGGGAAATATATGTCATAAATGCCACAGCATTTTAATTTCATTCAACTCCATTTGGAGTTTTTTCTCCCTAAACAATTTACTTTCAACTACCTGAGAAGAAGCTTCCATTAATGAATTTCTGAGATAGCGACTTCTGTAGAATCTATCTTATCTATGGCCAATAGAACAAACCCATTATTGTCAGAATACCTCCAGTTCTGATTGTATGGGATAGTATGCAGAGAGTATGACATTCTGACAGCTAAAATTTGGTAAGGCAATACTAAATGTAGTCCTATGGCTACATTAGCTCCTTTGTGTTCCTCCATGTATTGGGGTAGATACTAAACAGCTTACCTTCTTAAAACTTATTCAGTCTAGAGCACTACTGTAGCAAGACGTTCCTATCAGAAATTACTAAGTCTTTGAAAAGCTAACATATGACCACATACCTCAGACACCAAGTCTATCACATACATATCAGACATTATCTTCACACTCTGTCAAGAAAAGGTAAGGTATTCACAGCAGGGGTCCACTACAGTCCAAATATCAAATCCTATCTAGGTTTTCAGAAACTCCATGTTTTCTCTAGCTTATCACTGGAAAATCACCAAATGGAATGGGATATCTGTATTGAGGTCCCTTTTTTACTTATCTTCCAGCTACAAGTATATCACTTCAATACATCCTTCGCTGGTTATGCAGGTACAGAATCCAATAAGCTTAGTGGTCAGATGGACCTTTTGAGGAGGTGCCTCTTTTAAAGTAATTGTCTAACCATCAGGCTACCAGGACACAGACTGCTATCATGAAAAGGCTAAGAAAACTTTCAGAGACACCCACAAGCCTTATATTGGATTATCCACAAATACCAGGAGGAGAGATCTAGTTCTGCACAAAGATATAAATTACTCTATGAGATTTACTTCTGTTCAACTCATAACAGCAGGGTTGCAGATCAACATCCAAGTTTTGTGACCAAAACCTGCAAGACCACATTTCCCAAAATGGTTGAGCCATGGGACTAGAACAGTTGCCAGTTTTTTCACTTATGTGATAGACCATGACAGGATTATTAAATCCAAGGAGTCATTAGAAGAAAGAACAATGAAGTACAAGAAAGTATAATGAAAGTTTAAGAAGAAAGAATGACCCTCAAGAACTTGAAATAAAAGTGTCAAATTGTTAAAGATTTAAACAATGCCAGACTTTGGATGGAGTTGGTAATTCATGTAAAGCACGTACATTTTCTCCTGTTATAACTCATTACTGCCACTAGTAGTTCAGTCAATAAGGTCAATTGGTGAAGTTACCAATTTTCACTGTACTTTTAGGGTACACAAAAAACCAGTGCTATTTACTTTTATGTGTCTAAAGTGTAATTTATTAAATTTGAATAAAAATTAATTAGAACTTAAAATTTACCTTAAAATGACATATTGTACATCGTGACAGTTAGAGAACTATTTCAAAGAAGGCAAAAACTGCAATTGGGAAAAAAAAAAATCTTTCAGTTCTGTAAAACATTTCCAAGTTCTCTTTCCAGAAAAAGAGGAATAAAAGAACAGTCTTGGAAAACTCTTCATATCTATTAGTGTCTGGAAAGTTGTCTAATGGTGCCATACAATTCTATTTTCTTGGTGGATATCTTTTCTCCCCCAACCTTCTTACATGTGCAAGGTAACTGATCTCTTTTTGAAGCAGATCACATTTGTTTGGGTCCAATTTCAGATGTGCAGCCTTCAACTTATTTCAGAATATTTGTAAATGTTACTATCAATTCTTATTTCAGAATTTTAGTGAGGGCCAGAATATCATCTGGGTTGAGATGTACAGACTAAACAATACTATCTTCTAGTAGTTTTTCAAATGTGTATTGTAAAAGCCAAAGACATCAGGTGAAAATGCCAACAGCCTGGACCTGCTGTGAATGCAGTTTATCTCCACAAGCCAATATTCACTTTAAGACTGTGTAGAAAGACAAATTAAATTTCTGTAACAACTAGAGTCTCAAGTTTTTATGGTAATGAATAAGATTATTTTGAAGATTAAGAAGCAATATATTGCATTTGCTGTTGTTCATCATCAACTTGATACTACTATCTCTTCCTAAACAAATATATGAGACCCAAAGACCAAGTGAAGGTCTAGAATGTGCCTTGTTAACAATTTCTCAGTTACAATTTCTTAGTGACCACTGTCTTATCTGCTATTCATAAGTGGCCAGGTCTACTGTGTGATGGGGTCCCCTCTGACACATATTAATCCTGTGTTGGGCCAGTGCAATTCAATAAAGCTATAGCTGTTTGCTTTATTGTCTAAAGAAAAACTTATGATTCCTGGAAATAATGATTATCGAAATAGAAGTCACCAGACTGTTCCACTGGAATTATACCTATTTAGAGCAAACCTAGCAGAAAAGCTCAGAATTCACTTACATCCTTCAGATTTTCATGTCAGCGTCTGTTGGATTCAGCTGCTTATTTTATACAGACACCACTTCCTTTTTTCCTCTATTATTTTTTTGCTTATCAAAATAACCCATTTCTATTTCACATCCATGAATGATAAGGCAATACTGGTTTAAAAAAATCTGCCAAGTAAATTGCAAAATAGTTTATTTTGTCAGAAAATTAACATGGTACCAGCTACCTTCACTATTTCTCTCTAAGGTCTCTGCAAAGCCACAGCAGAGACCTTAGACCCTTTACTCACTCAAGAACATGTCTTGAACAAAAAGTTGCTGCATGTTGGACCTATAGAAAAAAACTAAGATTATATGGCAGTGTCACACCTAAGGTTATTTAGACTTACAGCTTGTTACAGAGGTCAAATATGCAAATCAAATATTTCAACCATTTTTTCAAAACTGCCTGTATGCAGTAGCTATGTGCACTGAGGACGAATAAATGGTTTCATTCTGGGTTACCTGATTTATTACCTTTAGTATTTTTGATGCAATAACTTAATATTTCTATATTTTAATTTTCATGTACATTTCATATATCATAATGCACAAAAATGACAAAAGTGCACTTTTTTCATTTTCCTGGTCAGATAGTATGTAATTATATACATGGAGTTTTAATACCTTCTACAAATATGTTATCCTCCTTATAATATTTAGCAACATAAATCATGCACACATAGCTTCTCTACAAATACTCTTTCTACTGAAAAAATTTTGGCATTCCCAAGAGTATTCCCTAGTATGGTGGGGAATATACATTCCTTCTGAACCTCCCCATGGTACAACCATGAGAACAATGGGACTACAATGAAATTGAATGTGTTTGAATGATGTCTATTTTGAGCATCCCAAAGTGTTAAATCAATATAGGAAAATTCATCAATACCTAAGATTTTTTGCCTTCTGTCCTGTTTTTAAAAGGAAAAGGAAAGACTGAAAGTAAAAAATGAAACCACTAGGGCAAATTGCTCAAAAACTATGGTATACTTAGCTGTATAGGAGAAGGAATAAATAATACATATTTTTTGTCATTAGACAATTAACCCCATTGAAATTAATTTAGATTATATGGATCATCACATATATTGACTTTATCTAAACTGGAAGTTTATTCATTCCAATATTGAAGTTACATGAATAAAACCTGTATAAATAACACATTTTGTAATTCAAAGTCACATGGATTTCCCTAAAGCTTATGAGGTTGGTCAGTCAATAGACTAATACATTCTGTCACTTATTACCTGTAATAATTTAAACAGATAGTAAAACTCAATACTGGTTAACACTAGGTTAAGACTATGACCCTGATCAAACATTTGTCAGCCTTTGTAAAAGATGACATGTGTCTGAGTAGGCAACTGTATGCACTGCAGCTCTCAATAAGATGCGTGACAGCAATGGAAGATGTTGTACTCCTGGCAAATATTAGACCATTTCAAAACGACAGAACTAAATAATGTTATGTACAGATAGATAGTGAAATAAATAAATATAAATATAAATATAAATATAAATATAAATATAAATATAAATATAAAAAATATTATGTGGACCAGTTTTTTGATAAATAGGAATAATTTGTGGGCCAAAAAAAATAAAGAAACTAAGACTCTCATATTGCTGCAAAATTAAGTCAAACAGGTGATTGTATCATTAGCATTCAACAATATGATCTGCAAACTACTAATGGAAAGATGTGATAAAGTTTGTTACTTCAAACCCAATACCATCAGAACGCAAATAAAAATGTGTAGAAATATTCTTTTATTTATCCTACTTTCAAAACAGCATGAATGATGAAGCAGAAGCATATATATGTAATTCTAGAATGCCTACAGTGACAAGATATAATAATAGCAACAAAACATCTAAGAAGCTTTCCACTGTTCAAATGTAATTTTGAAAGTGTTCTTTTAGACTACTGATCCATACTTTTAAAAACTTGTGTATAGTAGTTGTGGTATCAAAACTCTGTAAAGTTCAAATTCATCTTGACTCTTTTGCATTTATGATAGGAGCCTATTTTATCAAATTGCAGTTTGCTTTGAAATTATTAATACAGTGGTCAAGTGTATTATGTAAATTCTCTCTTAAAAAGTGATGATTTTTTAATCTTTTTACCCATTCAAGAAGTATCCTACTGGTAAGTAAATGGGTACTTAACCCTCAAAACAGTTGTCAGCCTTCCTCCAGCATTTAAGTTAAAAATAAATTTGTGTTTCTCACTGATAATCTCATATGGATTGACAATATCAATACTTACTTGAGCTTCTCAGCAAAATTTTCACTAAGAGACAATCATTGTGTAGCAATGTTTCCAAAAGCAAGTTCAAATTACAGTATGGCTGGGATAAGAGCAGCTTCAGCAGACCTTGGGCTGCCATTTCTCTGGTTGCTGGAGTCCTTTCAAAATATAAGATAAAGACAGAAAGAATAATAAAGTTGATTTATCTATAAAATTAATATCCTTAAATTGCAGATGTAACACTAAATCCCTGAAGTGTTCAACTCCTCCCAGATTACTCTGAAAATGCTTACATGCTCCTTTACTTTAAGGCAGCTCAGAGAAAGAATTGCACTTAATTTCAACTAGTTAAAAGCAAATTGACATTTGTTAGTCTGCCACAGCTAAATCTGATACAAAGCAACTGTGTTTATCTCTTTCATGGAACAGTATTTCTTCTGTTCTACCAGGCAAAAAGGAGGATTTTTTTCCTGAAGTTGAATAAATATAAGGGTATAATTTTTTAGTTTATTATTGCAGTAATTGTTGAGTAAGAGATCTGAAGTGTCTCTCCTTGATGAAGTGTATAAAGCTCTTAAGTAAAAGAAAGTGAAAATGCTCAAAGGGGTCACAAAATTCTACTTTAGGTTGAGCAATTCTTATGTGTCCTGAAAAATCCACAAGAAACATTAGACTGGTTGAGTTACTGCTTCACTAGCAGGGAGAAGTGAGAAAACATAGTACAAATTCATTAGCTTTAAAAAGATTGCAGTTTATTTTCTGTTTGTGATTTCCTTGTTCTACAAAAAATTGAGGTTTCCAAATACTATTCCAGGACTCACTCTGAACACAGCCACTGACCCAACACCAATCACTGAACTCACATTACAGTTAAACGAAAAACAAACAAACAAATCTGTTCTGCCAAATGTTTATCACCTATTGTAGTTAGTATTTTTTTCTTGAAACATTTTTAAAAACAAGTTTTCAAAATTGGATTGTGGATAATTTTTTTTCCTTTAATGTGTAAGTTTTTATTAATTTGAGGGTTCTTTTAAAATTAAATTTCAAGTGACCTTTAGCCACTGTACTTTTTTGGCTACATGTTTATACAATACTTGATAACATTGAAACTTTATACACCTGATAAACTTTTATGCACATGAATTTCACATGCATGATTTTAAGGACTTCATATGCATTGGCTGGGCAGGCATAAATATTACCTGCCAGTATGCAAAAAACACTTTCAGCATCAGTGAAAACTTTCTTCACTGGGAGGGGTATTCAATCTGACATTTTCTCATCAGACTAGAGAAGTATTTATATGCCTCTGCTCAAACAATTTACATGCCATCTACACATAACTTTTAGGACAGAACTAAAATGGGCCTATGTAGTAGTTATAACAGAGGAGTACCTCTCCATTAAGTTGCATGCTTTTACAACCTCTGACTCAGCCAAGCGTGCCACCTCCCAACTATGCTTGAATACATACATTAAAAAAACCAGATAACTGCACAAGTATTTCATTGTTGAATCAAAGCTGCTATTTATACAATATACTCAATACAACCTATAAGTCCTGGAAAAGAAAATGTCAGCTGATACACTCCTCAGCTTTAGTCCCTCACATGTCTATGATTCCATTACCAGAAAAAGCAGTATGCCACCTATCTTGAAGGGCAGCCTTGAAGTCACCGAAGAAAACCATAGCACCATCTTCCAGCAGGGCCCTTACATCCTACTATTATGGCAAAACTCCACTGTAATAGTAATTTTAGCACAGGAACCTCAGCCTTTGCTCTTTTAACACTAAAGCAAATACCTTTAACTTCATAAGCAATGTCTGTGCCAGGAAACCTTATGTACAGCTTTTGTGATTTCCATCTGGTGCTTTATATATTTTGCCGACAGCGTAGGACTGACTCTACAATTATATTTGAATATTAGCACATAATGGATTCAAGCAATATTTATCAAATATATACACACATATACATTTAAATCTTGACAGAACTTACACCCAAAGTAAATTTTCCATATTTAAAATATATATTGCATTCAGACATTAGTATTTTGCATTCTTAAAATAATTATCCTAATTTCTGCATGTTCAAGATTAGTCCTATATATATAATTTAACACATATATAATTTATATATAATCTATTCATAATTAGTAATTAAAGTTAAAATTAAAATGGTTTCTATATTCACACTAGAATTAATGTTATGGCTGAGAGTAAACTCAACTCTTCACTAATATAGTTAAATTATTCAGGCCAGTTTAATTTTTTTTTCTCTTCTTTTCATGTCATGCTATCCTACCTAATAAGGTCAGTCATTGCCTTCAAACCAAAAGAAAAGTTGGGTCAATTAGATTTATGAGGAATAATACTTTAAATTCCTATAGAAAAAAAAAATTATATTTTTAGAGTATCTGAATTGAAAAAAACCCGTCTGTCATTGACCAGATGGGAAGTTATCATGTTGTAATATACACCAGTTCTTGGCTCTTTAAGCTTCTTGCAAATTGAAATGTACAATGGTGTGACTCACTTAGAGGAAAAATAAAATATAGCAGACATTCCCTACAGCCATGAAGCTAGCACCAATAAATGCACTGAGAAGTTTTGTAACGTGCATATGGAGAGGCATATGTTCTCTCATCCTCACAGCTCAGTACTAGTGAAAATAAGACCAGCCTCATAAAAAGAGACAAAAGGTGAAGTACATATAAATATCACACATTTAAATGACCTGTTTTGTACAGTAGAGGGGAAAAAACTCCAACTTTGATTTGCAAATGCTATGATTATAAACCCCAAATGAGGCAAAGAATGAATCACAATTAGCACTGAAGTAATCACCATTAGTAACTAAATAAATATATCTAAATAAATAATTAAGTTAATTATTATCATTAAATGAACTGTAATATAAATTATCAGTAATTCTTTAGTTTGATAACCAGCTACATTATTTTGGTTTCTATTCAAAATAGAATAGAAACACTCACATGTGAAACCTCATGTATTAAGTTCAAGATGTTATAAGGCAGGTAGATATGCTAATTCATGGTAGCAACCTTGTCACTGATGTTGGAGTCAAATAGAGAAAATTAAACAGACTGTAGCTATTTACAGCAATGAAAAATAATGTAGAAAATCAGGTTACATAGTAAATAAATTACTTTCAGGAACTAGCAAAACTTTTTTTTTAAATAGCAAGCTTGGGAAGACGAAATACTTAATAGCTAAATGTATGACAAGTTAGAGTCATCAGTTAAAAATTAGGTGGCCACAGTTGAGAGGTATACAATGACCTGTGCTTCCAATTTTGTTACAGACAGTGAACATATATTTTAATTAGATATAAGTCGTAAAATTGTAAAACAACCCATGAATAATTTGGATGCTCTGAAATACAATTTTCTGCAATAATTAAATATGATGTTTCTTTATAATGTTCTAAAGGCAGTATTTGAAGGGAAAAAATGTTTCATTCACATAGACTATAAAACCAATGAAAAAACTAGAACACCTCAGAATTACTCATTAGATACAGAATCCTTCACTTCATTTTTTTTTCCAGAGCAGCTGAAAGGTGTGTTGTTAAAAAGTAACATTAAGTATTTTTCCAATATAGTTCACTCATTATCACCAGGACAGTATGCAAGGCTCTCTCTATGTATGGACTTTTCTCACAAAGGGTACACTGACTGTATCTTCTCAGAGATGTCCTTTCTTTTGTACTTCACATTTTCCTGTTTGTTGACCAAGAAGTTGTTATTTTAGTACCTTTCTTCCACAGAAAATAAGTGCATACTACATAGCTCTGGAATAGTTCTTCAGCTATTTATTTGCATCTTAATTTCACCTCAGAAAAGATAATTATGTCAGACTGAAATGGTACAAGCATTTCCTTTACATACTGTTACACAGTACAGGGTACCCTTACATATAGGGTACTCACATGTGAAACTGTCTTCCAAAACTCATACTTTACAGTGTAATTTAAATCTAGAGATCTGGCCTTACATGAGGACATAAAAAAATGTATTGTCTTACAATGAATACTTAATGGAGCATAAATTTTCCAGAAATGGATGACTAGATTCCTTTCTAATGCAGTCATTCCCTCTACTGTATCCCTCCTTCCTGCTCCTCTCCAACCATGCATAACTTAAAAAGTCATTGACAAAGTTCCTTGAAGCTCGATAAACACACATGATCTTTCACGCTTTATAAGAACTTAAATTACTATTTCAAGCAGGACACATTCTGAATTCATCACTTATTCAAATCTAGCATATAGTTAGCAAACCACATGATTTTGATGCAGTCACAACATATATTGTCTCCGCTTCAGCAGGTATCAGAGGCACTGGGGAAGGAGACAACAGGATTGATGACACGCAGTTAGGAGTCTAGCCTATAGAGAGAAATCAGCATGTTTTGTGTAGTATGGGGCAAAATTTAGGGAAGATAGTTACATAGATAAATACAAGATAGATACAAGGTAAAAGATACCGTGTGTACAAGGAAAGAGATAGTAAATCCAAACGACATGGGTCATTCATAGGTCACCACTCATTTCACAACATATTCCTCCAAAAGATAAAAATACTTTCTTGGAAAACACAGTAACATCTTACAAAAGCAGCTTTTCATGAAAATGGAGAGTGAAAAACTTCTCAGGAAATAACCTTGAAAAGGAGGAGAGGGAGGTGAAGGGGTTAGGAGAGGATCTACACTGGTATGGGAGTGCTTCAGTTTCAAAATTAGAAAGCAAACAACAGCACAGCTGGTAGCATCTATCTTCCATGTCACTTGTCCTTAAATGCAATGACACAGAAAAGTTAAGCTTTTGCTTCTAATCATTCAATAATCTCAAAAAAATTCAACTACAATCAAGCAGCATATTGTTAAATTAGTTATTTATGTACCAAATATTTATTTTTAAACAGCAATCCTAAAAAGAAAGGCATACATTCTTTATCTCCCCTTTAATTATAAGTCCTTTAAAACAGCAACTGTACTGAACTCCTGTGTTATCAACAACTATATACTCTTTAATTAAAGACAGAAAACCTTACAGATAATTCAAATATCAAACATAATTAATAGATTAGCAAAATACAGTGCTTTCACTGTAACTTTTCTTCAGACTCTCAAAGATCAGAGAAATCTGTAATTAATTAAAAAATGCTTTTATGGCTTTTAAAAATCAGAATATTAATTAGACATTCAGATATGCTCTTCAAAATGTAACAATATTTGACTAATACTGACTATGTGGTGTCAGATATGCTCTTCAAAATGTAACAATATTTGACTAATACTGATGGTGGTGATCCTTTTGTAACAATCAATCCTTTTGTAACAATCAACTTTTGATACTCACTTCATAAAGAAAAAACAGGATGACGGTATGCAAAATAACCAGTGCAATGGCTGATAAGAGACTTCTGAAAAATCTTGAGGAAGATGTTCATCAGAATTATCCAGAAATGTCCTGGAAGAAACCAAATACTTCCAAATTACAAGGAAGACTGCAAATCCCCTTGGACACTACTACTAAGTATGTGTATATGAACAGAAGACAGAAATACCTTATGATGAATACTATTAATATATGTATGCAAACACGTAATTGCAACTCTCTATGTACTGTAAAAAATATAATTTTATTTTCTATAATTTTATTACTTTCAGTCTTTGAAACTCAGTATCTAATAACTGTTATTCAAGTTTTCTTCATATTTTTATTCCTATATAATACAATGTTTGAAAATGCATTCAAATAAGCGAATTTCTCTTCAGCCATTCATTTCTATAGCTCTTTTCTTCCGTCATAGCAAAAATACATAGTATTTTCAACACTTTTATAGTAATGATATGTAAAGTATATTTTGAAATGATACTGACTGATACGCAAGCATATATAGACTTTGGATTATTCGGGACAAAAATTTGAACCAGAAGCTTTGGACTTTCACTGTCTTGAGAGAAATGGAATACCGGTTGTTTTCAAAGATAAGGGACTAGAGTAGAACTAGATTGTGACTAGATGTAACTTTTGCAATACTTCATTTACTCAAATGATGTGACAGGCAAAATCCACAGATACTAAAAATGAAATATGAATTATATGATAGGATTACTACTATGTGTAAGAACAAGATTCTATAATTTGATTATTTGCCTTTAATTATTGCTTAGTAATAAATTATTAGTATTTGTACAATTTTCTAGCAGCCAATAGGATTCAATAATGTGTGATCATAATGGATGCCTTGTGTCCTCTTCTCTTTTTATTCTCTCTACAATTCCAGCAGAGAGGAATTCCAGCCTGTCACATGCATCCTCCATTTAATATAACAATTATCACTTCACAAGCACCTTACTTTTCATCTTACTTGGCTGTGAATTTTTTATCTTTCATCTGAAGTAATTCAGAACTATAGCTAAATATCTGTAAGACTCAGATGAAAGAAGAGAGAGAATTATACTTTTTCAACAAGAAAGGTAGCGGTATAGTTTCGGAACATCTCCAAAAGATAGGCTTTTATTTGGAAACCACTCTTACTAACAAAAAAAAATAGAAATTATTTAATACAGATCTTAAGTAAGCAAAATCTGAGCAGATGGATTAGCAAAGTCAGTTTGTGCTCTTTGTGAATTTATGAAAACCTGAAGATTAAAAATAAAGCTGAGATTCTAATATAGCCAAAAGAAGAATATAAACTCGAAAAGAATTATTTTTAAGGACAGTAATTTCATCATGAAAATAAAAAACAAATCTTATTGTCTCTCATCCACTGAAATATTTTTTTCTGAATACAGCAAAGTACAGAACAAACATCCTACACAAAAGTGTGATAAATACATTTTGGTTAGCAATCTAATTTAAAAAAAATAGGACCACATCTTGTCTATTGGTTGTGCAGGAACTGTTTGACAGAATTCTGGACTAAAGCAGCTTGTTAAATATGACTTCTTAGCTGTATCCTAAGGAGAAGCACAGGGCAGATTTTTGGATTCTGACTTATTTGCTTATACTGAAATCTCTACAGAAATTTTTAACGCGAGATAATCTGAGGGTTTTAGAGATTGTTTAAACATTAGAATAGCTTCAAATACTATTAAAAAATCAAGTGTCTAATGATAATACAGTAATTCTCATGACAGCATCTCTTAATGTCCACTGATGGCTAGGTGATTCTTGCCAGGAATGCCCAACTCTGTGCCAGACTGTTGAACGCAACTACTCTTCTGACAGAAGTATAATAATAGTAAGTAAGACTCTTGTTTTTGCTTCAAGTTATGCTAAACCAGCTGCCTACTATCCCAAAGCACTGGATAGCTGATTTTATACCAAAGCAAGATTTCAAGTTATAGCAGTTTTATTCTTCAGTAGAGTATTACAAGGTGAAAATTGATCCTGTAAGCCTGAGTGCAGGTGTGAAGAAATGAGATGCCAGCAAGATGCACCCTAACAGTATTTCTTCATAGTTTGTATGATTTCTCTCTATATAAGGAATAAACATTACTAAAAAGCAACTTCATGAGTTGTAACTCATATATTAAAGAGAAATGTTCTCAATTTTTAATACTGAAGAACATTGAATTTAAAACAACAGAGAGCAATTTTACCAATAGACTCTTTATATGCTTCTCTCAACATTGAAATAATTTACCTACCTTCTTGTTGAGAAAATAAGATATAATAATTCATACTATGAAATCACGAAAAGTTGCATCCACCTTGCTCTTTATATTCTTCCTTTACAGACTATCATCCCCTAATTAGTACAAAAGACTAAAGAATACTAGAACAGGCACAAGAATAGATCTGCTCCAAACTGAGCGATCCTGAACCTGAGGCAGAAGACAGTCTCTACTTTGAGGCCCAGATTATTTACTCCTCTACAAAGTTATGAGTAAAGAATGGCATTGGTCACATGTATTCATTTACAGGCAGCACTGAAACTGTGCGATCCACTACATGAAACCCCAGCTACTAGAACTGAGTAACTGACAACAACCTTGTCAGCAAGTAAGACAATGATGACTGGAAATTCAGAATTATGAAAATCCTCTTATTTCAGAGGTTTGAGAAAGCAGCAAGAAAACAGCAACACTCAGTAGATTTGAGGAGCACATTCTAGAGACTCATTGTTCAACAGGTTCTCAACAATATGGACAAAAGCCGACAGAGAACAGTTGCTTAGCAGATTTTCAGGTTGCACTAAACTGGAGGAAGCAGACTTAACAAACAGCCAAGTGCCTATTCATGGATGACTGGGCCAACAGAAATTCACAAAACTGACTGAGGTAAAAAGCAACTGTTTACTACAGAATTACAACAACCTAGGTTGGAAACTGACTTGTCTGAGTGCCACCCTACCAAACTAACTACAAACCTGGGGTTTATGGGCAGCAGGGCATCGAAGACAAGGCAACAGTATATTATCACTAGAAAAAAAGCAAACTGCACACTGGGCTGTATTAGAAGGAACACAGCAACTAAAACAAAGATAGTGATTTACTTAATCTGCTTGTCAACGGTTTAAGCCTCACCTAGAATGTTGTCCAGCTGTTTGGCCTACAGTTTAAGGAGAATGTGAGGAAGCTGGAGAAGACTGAACTGAATAATCTGTAAAAAATGTTTGAGGGCTCAAGACTCCTTTACTCTGGTGAAGAGGTGGCTAACGTGTCAATTTATGTAATGGCAGCCTACAACCACCCAAACGAAGACAATTCGTAATTACGAAGACAACTCTGTCCAACTTCTGTCAGTGGGGCTGATGTGATACAGCAAATTATAGCCAGCAGCTTTGAGGGCTCACACTACATATGAGGCAATATTTTGCACTATGGTATCACAGCTGCAGAGCAGGCTTCACAAAAAGTTGTAGAACTTCAGTTCCTGGAGGCTGCCATGTGTCAGTTGAGTCAGTCAAACACAGTCATGTTTGACTGCTGTTGGTGATTGTTTGGCTTTGAGGAGGAGGCTATATTAGACAACCCCCAGCAGTCCTTTCCAAGCAACATTTCCATTATGCTAAAGATACTTCAGGAAAGCCACAGAAGGATGGAGAAAACTGAAGCATAGAAAAACAATATTAAACCCTTATGACCCAAGATTCATAGGTGAATTTCGGAGCAGATCTAAGTAACCTTCTCATACTGAAAAGAAAGTCTAGATCACAAAATTCCTTATGAGAAAACAAATCATCTTATCTGAAGTTAAGGATATTACTAATTTTTCACCATCATTACAGTCTTGTTCAATTTCCACAAAATAATTAAGAAATTTAAATAATTTTAGTTCCCTTAAGCAATAGAGAATGCAGCCTCTCTAGTAAGTTGGAAATGAGCCTGTCATATTATTACACAACTCATGGAAAACAATGTTTCATCATTGCCATTTTGCTGATTACATAGAATTTTTCTGAAAAGTCTAAAGATAATTGACTTCTACTCACTTAACGAAAACTTCCATTACAAAAATACAGCATGATAGGTTTAAAAGAAAAGGTTTCACTTCCAGTTAACTTTACCAAAGATGTGAAAGATATAGGGCCAAGACAACAGATGGAAATTGTGATTATACAACAGAATTGCAGAGAGAATTGATGAAAGATTAATATTCCTTTAAAATCAGGCGTAACTTTTGAATTTATTATTGATAGATTCTTAATGTAAAGAACTATGCATACCCCAGTAAACAATACACCGAGGTACTTTACCTAAAATTCACTATATCAAGGCGTTTCCAATTGAATATAATCATTTAAGGAGCTGATCAGCTAAACCATTTTCTTCTTTGCACTCTGGACACTGGGTTAGGTTATCTGACAAATATTGGCTGCAATTAAATATACAATATAAAAGAATTGTTTCAATAATGCAGCCTCAGATTGTGAAAACACACAATCTGTGTGAATAGAAGTTCATTAAAAAAATCCAGTTTTTCTTACTGTAAAACATGCATCATCTATATGGAAATACTGTGTTCAGTGTTAATATTTTTTTTGTAACTATATAAGAAAATAAGACAATGTTTTTGTATTCTCTTTAAACAAAGCTGCCATATTTTGGTGGTGATTTGCACAGTACTTTACTACTTTGTAGTAAATTAAATGAGCTCTTACATTCAGCACATGTCAAGGTTTTGATCTCCAGATAAGCAAATTCAGAGATTGAAATTCACATGCCTAACTCTGAAAGCTATATGACCAAGTTGTTAACCTGCAGAATTTTACATAAAATAAAATTAAAGCTTTTCATTGGCACTTCAGTCTGAAACTCCAGATTTCTCCAGCAAGCACATATTTTTTGTCATGCTATGTATACATAAATATGTAAACAACATTGATCAGTGGAGGAGACTAGAGTCGCTTAAAGGAACAAATTATACTGCATATTTACTTTAATCTATCATTTTAAGAGTTTTCATAAAAGAAAGATGAGCTGTCAAAACTGACAGTAGAAGCAGTTACGTAGCAGTGTCCTTTCCTGTCTCCATTTCTACTGCCATAGGAGGACTATCTAATCTGTTTCTGAGTCACCTTCTAAATTGCTATCTATTCGTAAGCCTGTGTTATATTAAGATCGAACAATCAATTACAATCCTTTTTGTATGAACTTTTGTATGTTCTTTAGAGCCCACAAATATTAAGATGAGCCCACATGTGACAAAAAAATTTAGATAAAGAAGCTTATATGCAGGAGGTCTCCACCCTAGAACCTCCTCTAATTTTCTTATTTTGAATAATGAAGCTAAAGACAGTTAAAGAGGATGTGGCTTCATTAGGTTGGGGTTTTGTTGTTCCCCTTTTTTAAATTTGTGATCTCACTTTGCATTGTCTCTTACACCAAATTTACAGATGAATTTTATCAACAAAAGACTCAGACCCCATTTCAGTGCAAGTTACATGTCCATTTTTTACAGCTGTGACTTGTGAAGACATGATATTATAAATCTGGGTATTCTATATTCTTATATTTTTAACTACATTTGTTGCGGCATGCTGGTCGTGTAAGCAGATGATCATTTTAGTAAATTACCTTTACATTCCAATTCTTCTAGAAACATTATCAGATGACAACAGAACATTCTAATTTAGCTGGAAGCCTGAAGTAGATAAATCTGAACTAGTGAGATGACTTCTTTTCATATGATGAATGACTAAGTCCTTGAAAACCTTGCCAAAGCATTTGGTACTAGTAAATGTTTTCAGATCAATAAGACCATATTTAAAAAGAAATATGTCCTAACTAGAAAAATAAATTGCAAATTTGGAGCAGCAACCATTCATGAAATTCTACTGATTTTGTCACAACAAATAAACCTAGACATTCACTATGGTCTACGTTATTAATAGAAAAAATGTACAGCAGCAGATTTTGATCCAAAGCTAATAAAATCTCAGCAGATATAACTGGGCTTTAGGCACAATCACAAAAATAAGTATGGGATCAAATTGAGAAATTGTCAAGGACTACTAAGATGTGCCAATACTATGCATTACATTCGATTTCAACACAAAAATTCACCTTTGTAGATCTATCCATGTAAGCTCAAGAAAACAACTTTATCTCAAATTAAATGTTTATTTCATACTCACTCATACAAATTCTTCAATGGTGAAGTTAAAATAGCTAGCACAGAGATCAGACTATTGCAGTGGCTATGTATTTTATAGATCTTGAGATCTCTGTCTTTGTGTGGATTCAGAAACTCCTGCACAGAACTACAAATTGACCAGAGCATATCTTCAGCGGACATCAAAATTGCTGCAATATCAATTCTGTAGGTAAAAAAAGCCCAAGAATAATGTTACTTAAGGCATCTTGACAGTGGTAAATTCCAATTAAACAGACATTTTCTCTGACAGGATAAAACACCAAAATCATAGCATGGACTTTAAATTTCCTCTTCAGTGATGCAGGAAGTCTCCACCCACTACTCTGTAAAAATTGACTATTTCACAGAGAAGTTCTTACTGAAACTAGAACAAAAGAAGACTTAAAAAAATTGGAAATGTCCTTTCCCAAAGGCGTGAACAATTTAATTTCTAAATTACAAGTAAATAAATATAAATTTTGTTTTCTTATAATTAAAATGTACATACTATATTCAAATCCTAATGGGGCAAAAAGTAGGAACAAAGTAACTTAATCTTCAATTTGCAAAACTAACTCCATGGAACACTGTACAACATGGAACATTCGTAAGTCAGCAATCTAGTGCCTGTTGATACTGGCTGGCAGAGTGCCACATGTCATTGGCCTGAACAACAGCAAGAACCCAAACTACAACAACATAATCTCATAAGACTATGCTGACGTACAATACACAAAAAATATGGGAGGTATGAGGCTGGACTTTAAAAACTACTTAAGTACCTAAAAGCCATGGATGCACATGTTGCATCCAATATGCATTTTTAAGGATCATGATATTTTTGAAAAATCTAGACAAACACACATAAAAAGACATTTGTCCATATCATACATCAGTTCTCTACCATTTGAAGAACCACTGGGGGAAAAGATACCCTCACAAACTACAACAATATTAAAAAACATGTAAAGATTCTGTGATAAAAATATATTTAATTATATTGAATATTTTTTAAAATTTATTCATGACTGGACAATTCAATCTACTTAGTGAAAAATTCAAGAATCACCCTAATAAATACACAACTTTTCTACAAAATGACAATGTAAAAAGCTCTTTCTTCAGTAGTTTGAAGTACATTCATATAGAACTGACTAATACGACACTTAAGTAATATTGCATTTTTCATATTTCAGGGAACATTTCCCCAAAAAAATTTCCAGGCAAGTTTTCAGAAAACCTCTCTGTACCAAAAAATACAGAACAGCTTGATTACAGTAAGTTATTGCAGGAGCAGAGCACACAAATACATAGACTATACATAGAATAAAATTTCGGTTATTTTCCTACCCATTTCAAGAATGTGATCTTGTGCAAGTTACTTGAGCTTTTATGACAAAACTCCTTTTCATTACAAAACTTGAGATGACAGCAAATAACTCTTAGGTCACACAGAGCATGGACTTGGTAAATGTCTCTAAACCTCTAAAATTGCAAACTCTTTAACTCTTCTGGGAGGTGCTGTGCAACAGGACTAAAGGCAATGGTCAGAAACTGTGCACAGGAAGTTCCACCTGAATATGAGGAAGAACTTCCTTACTGTGTGAGTGACCAAGCACTGGAACAGAGAGGTTGCGGATTGTCCCTCACTAGAGGACTGTCTGGACGTGGCCTTACACTATGTACTCTGGGGATAACTCTGCTTGAGCAGGGAGGTTGGACCAGATAACCCACTGTGGTCTCTTCCAACCTCACCCAATCTATAATTCTGTGTGATTCTGTCAGGAGAAATGCACCTATTTATTCAGTAAAACAAGACATTGGATAAAAAGCACAAAGGTAGGGTTAACCTCCACTTGAAGACACTTGCTTTAGTATTTCTGGAAAGGACCGTACTCTCTGGCAAAACATAAGAATTGCAACAGGAAAAACTTCCAATTTCTTATTTTCTAAAATGATAGAAAAAGGAATAGTAGCCTCTTTCTCCTCTCTCCTTCACTGGCATCATTCTGACAAATGTTTTGATGTGAACTTGTAGCTCTTTCACTTGAAAAGCCATATAAAACCACAAATTCTACTACAACTCATTAGATTTTCTTAATGAATCAACAGCTTGATTTCTAATCCTGACATTGTCAATTCTATTCACATTTTTGGTTGCATCACCAATCCTCTATGAACTTTCATTGTGAGGCTTTCAAACCAGTCAAGCAGTTTATGGAACAATTTCACAGAGTTGAAACAGCCCTTCGATTCTGCCCAGTTTGCAGTATAACTACTAAATATACTTAAATACACAAAATAAATTTTATTAAAACAAACATCAAAATGCACAGATTTGGTCTATCCCCTCTGCCGTGTTCATTAACACGGAAATTTGAACCAAAGCAGTGAAAGAAGAAAGAAGAAAGCTAACATTTACTTCTTTCATCTATCAAAACGGTGCATTAAATATACAACCATTACCTGATTTGTGGTGTTCTTTTGTAACTGGGACACACCTGACAATATCTGGAGGACAGAATATCCAAAGATCGCTCCAGTACATCTGTAAGAATCTCCTGGGCTGTCTTTGGAGGTAGAATAGTCCATAGATCATGATGAAGAGCACAGCAGAAGTAATGCCACATCTGGACAGAGAACGAGCATCTTTCCCCCTATCAAAACCACCACACATTACATAACAAAAACACACATTTCCAAAATGTCAATTTAACTTCTACAGGTCTAATTATTTAAATCTGATAGGAAATTAATAAAGAGCTCCAGGAATACAATGGCAAAAAATGGTGCTTGAAAAGATGTGAGACATCTTTATTTGCAAGAAAACACATGTTGCATTTCAGTCACAAAATTACAGCGCTGCCACAAAATAAAACCACAGCATTTGAACACTTATATCCTCAATTAACCTATTCTCAAAACCCATAATATTGTAAGTTTAGTTTAAAAACATAGACAGTATTCTGTACACAGTAGAATTGTCAGATAAACTTAACATAGCAGTTTCTTTGTCTGCAAAGAAAATAATTATTTAAACTACTTAAGCATTGTATTTACCCAGATGCAGAAATGCTATGTGTAACCACAACTACAAAACCTTGGTTACACACATAAGATATGCAAGAAGAGAAGAGAAGAGATAAGAACAACTGAACTATTAAACTGACAATATGAGATATCCAGATTGTTTTACTAAAATATTTTTTCCTCTTGTAATTTGGATGTATTGAAACCAAACATTTTCTGGCAAGGAAACATCACAGGCATTAATATTTCGTTGTCTAAACAGATCTATCCTATTAAAACACAGAAATAAATATACAGGAGTCAGAATCACAGCAGTTACTCCATAATAATTCTAAATACGTTTCACATTTAAATATTTCAACTAATACCTATTCAGCAAATAGCATTATCATGAAAGTTTTTGAGAACAGAGACTTCAGTCTTCAGTTCCTACATCCCAAAGGAACTGAGCAATATTTTAAGAATTTTTTGATATTTTAGCATTATTAGAAATATAAAATAACCCCATAATTTTTAAAAGGCTTTGATAGGCATTCTTTAACAATAAAATAAAAAACAATCTGGCTTCTTTTAAAATATATTAGCATGAACATTAGCAGATTATTGGAAGTTGTCACTATTTGGTTTTCCTCTGACATAATACTTGAAGTGCATTTTATATTAAGAAGGGGCAAAAATTATAACAAAGAACAAAATAAACAAGCTTATTGACAAGTTTTACTTCTTAACTTTATCATTATAAACACAAATTGTTTTCACTTTCTCTGCTTTGGTTTATTTAAGTAATAGCTCTTTTCCCCTTTTTTACTATTGTACCTCCCCTGCAGAAGCAACAATATCACTAGAGATTTAAATGAGATTCAGTCCCCTTTTCTGACCTGTGTTTCTATTTGTTGCCATTTCTGGACAATTTCACTGATAAACATCTGCTATTTTTGCAGGCTTCTTATAATAAAAACAGACATGAGCTTTTATTTAGTCTATATATGAGGAAACAAGCAGTTGTGTTTTATTACATAAGCCACCCAGTATTATCTCTGGACAAGTCTTTATTCTTTGACTGTTAGAAAATGTAAGTTCCCACAGCTACAGCAGATGTTGGCTACACTAAGAACTTCATTCAAAAACATAATCTGGATAGCCGGCCCAGTGGCTCACTCCTCCTGCTGAGCTCATATGTTGAAAGAAGCCATCTCTCACTGCTGGAAGTTTCAGCAGGGAATTGCCTCTGTAACAAGCAATAGATCTTAATCCAATCTCCTCCATTTAGGATGCCTACAAGACATCAACTGAAGTAACATCTCTCTACACCATGCCTCCTGAAGGAACCTGAAGGAACTTAGAGCAGATCACAGTCCACCCTTGGGCCATCTCCCATGGCCCAGTAAAAAGAGGAGTGATGATGTAAAATTACATACTTTTCACCTCAAATCCTGTAAACATACAGAGCTGAGACACCAGTTTTCCTCATTTCTTCCTACACACATCAGTTCTGTTCAGTAATGATAAAAATGTTTAGCTACTTCATATGCTTTCTTGTCAGACAACTGTTTCTCCATGGTGAAGTTACTGGATCACCAGTAAACAGGATACAGCACCATAGGCACTATAGACAATGAAGATCATATCATGATTCAGCAGTTGCCAAAACCCACTGCCTTTCTTACCTTATCATGACTTTAAGATGCAGGTGAAATGGCACTGGTTATTTCAGAAATACATTGCAGAATGCTTTACGTAACTATATTGACCACCTTTCTTTGTTTCACCCTTTACTCACAAAAAGTAAAAAGGGAACCAGTTGAAAATAAAAGTAAAAAACTCAGATGAAAAATTTCCCAGAAAAAGATCTGCATATGTCACATTTTATAAAAGAAGTGTAAAGTTCTTAGAGATTAAGGTGATGGTGTCCTCTTTACTGAGTTCTATATAAATGCCTTTACACAAAATAAATATTTTACGAAGTAAATGATACAAACACACCATGGTAACAATCTATCTCATCTTTAAATGACTATGTTTTCCTACATAATTTCTAAATAGACACTCCCCTGCAATAATAGGTATTTCAAAATAGTACATTCCAATAATCCTTATGTAAAAACAATGCTGATCTGATGCTTCTGATTAGCCAGTGAGCTGGCAAACACTAAAACACATTTTGTAAAAGGGAGCCATAGTAAACTTAACCTCACACCTCGTAAAAAGCTTTGTAGTCATCCCAGCAGTGGCTCTCAGCATCCTGTAAAATGCTTGTTGCACATACTCTGATGCAGTAGTTCGTAACTTGAAACTGGAGAATGTTGATGAATTCCTGACATTTTTGGATAGGTACTAGGAACAGGGGTCTGTTCAGAGAGAACCATTAAAAAGACAATGAATGAAAAGCTGAGCATTAGGAGGTAACAATCCTTAGTACTCTAAATAGTTTTTATTAGTAGGTATCAATCATTCATTTCCTCTTGGTCCTGAACCTAGAATTCAGTTTTGTAACTTTTTGTTTCAAGAGTTCTCAAAACATGTCTGCTTGTCTATAAATTCTCATTTAACCAATCACTGAGAAATAAATTACTTCATCCTATTTTCTGAGACAGGTACATTTGACACTCACTTATTTGGAGTTTTGCAGCATTCTTGCATCAGCAATTATTACATCAGCACTGAGTATGACAAAAATATATATAAGCACAGAGTAGAGAGATTGCTTTTGCTAGGTATGTACTAAAACTCTTTGTTAATACATCTAAGCAGAATTATTGAGAAGTATTTTAGGTCAGACTGCCCACTCACAGAGATACATTTCATGCAGGAGACAGTAAAACATCAGAAGAAATCAGCTCAACAGTGCATATAACCACTAAGAAATCACACATTTCTTAGAAATTGTGCTACTTCAGGGTCCCTCCCAAAAACCACTGTTTCTACTTTTAAATTGCACATGGCTGGAAACATGTGGACCAATAGTCTCCCAGTACCTTAAGACAAAATCTCCTCAAAACAAGTGCAGTTGTATTTCCTCGTAGGTCAAACACTGCCTTTGACTTTACACTCCGACTTCATATCTGCTTTAATTTTTATTCTGCAAGTAATAATAAACTAAATTCTAAAATGAAAATGTATTGTATGCATCGTATTGTATGTATTTCTTTACATGTCTATATATAGAATACACATTGTGTTAGGAAAAAGAACAGAAATGCATTTTTATATTGTCCTCTATGACTGCCATGTCCTGAATCAGAGCTTATGAAAATTAGGCATTGCAAAAGTCAGAAAAGGAAATCAAGGCCCTAGCACTTTATTTATATGACAGCAGAGTACATTCAGTTCCCTGGACAATCCTATTTTCACAAATTTAATAATTAAAAAAAAACCCAAAAACAATCTGCAAATCAAATGCAGATCCTACACATAAATAATTTGTTTTGCACTAGCTGCTGTGGACTATCAGGTTGATTCAGGTATTTCCATAAAACAGTACACATAATGCATGTGCTAAAAAATATGGTGCAATTTGGAAAACTACTACCACACTGCATCGCCAAAATGGAATGAAGTCTCATATTATTTACATCTGAATTAAACATTTTAAGTAAAAAGAACATACTTTTTGCTTGTTTCTCTCATTAAATTGCTATACATTGTAAAATGCTGAAAGACATATATCGCCGTGGAAAGGGCAGCATACAAGTCTTGCAGGGGAGCCTTCAAGGGAACATCTTTGCTTTTCTCCTCTAGTCTTGCCAGAACAGCCGTTGCCACTTTGCTGCAGGCCTCTACAAAGTTTGCTCTAATTTCCTGAAGAGAATCATCTCTGCAGGCCAGAGCCAATGGAAGCAATGTGTCGAGTTCTTCCATGATGTCAGAACAAAACTGAGAAAAATAAACGTGGCAGCAAGTTATTTGTATTCTGACAGCACTGCTTAATTTATGCACGCTAGGGTCAGATTATAGAATAATGAAATTGGCATGAAACATAAATATATTGAATCAGCTTTACAAACATTTTAATCTCTTAAACACAGGAGTAACTTTTTTAAAAGCAAATTAAATATTCTTTTATTCCTTCCTGCACTAAAGCTGCATATTCTACACTAGGGGAAAAATTAAAACCATCTTATGGTAGTAATGTATTCATTTGTTTTTGATGTCACTAAACGTTCATTCAAAGCACAAGGCTAATTCCTTGTAAATAATGTTAATTTTCTAAACTAATTAATTTTGAAAAATACACAAACACATTTCTTAACACTGTATTTGGAAACAAACGTGTCATCTCTTCATGAAGTTATACATTAATCTCCCTAAAATTATGTCCCCAATACACGTCTTATTTCAAGCAAGTATTCATTAACAGCCTTCCAAATCTGCTAGCATAATCGCAGATCTTACTAGAGAAAGTCTTTCAAACATACCTTTCCTTACAAAAGGAATTTAACTAATAAATGACCTTTCAGCCAAATCAAATAACTCAAAATTGGCCTTATTACTGGTTATGCCAATTAGATGAATGGCATGTCTAATGATATGAATACAGAAAATCCCTCTATAGCCGCATTTCAAAGCTTTTGACATTTTCCCATCTAACCACTTGGTAACAGAGCAGATACTAATCAGAATGCTTTAGAACTTTTTGGCTGAAAAAAAAATGCCAGTGAAGTTTAAAAGGTAATTCTTTCAAGTACAAACTATGGGCTATTGTATAAAGCTCTGTTCAGCTTCACATTGTAATGCCTCTCACTTTCTTCTTAATTCCATTTATATAAGATATAGAATATTAATAGTACTGTAAGTACTTCAAAGTGTAGATGGCAAACAGCCTTGGCATCCTGTCTCCCTTCAAACTTCAGATCTTTTGATACCTGCCTTAGCAATTCGTTTTGGTTGCTCTTCCTGTTGGACTGCTCTGCAGGACTCCCTCATTTGCTGGTTGTTTACAAGATTCATTGCACAGCCTGCAGCTGAAAACTCTTCTTTCTGCTCATGTTGAAGAATTTTAGATGAAAAATCCTCAATTGCTATTGTTATACAGTGAGCCACAGAAGAAGACAGGTCTTTAAATGCATTTCTCCAGCCAAAACTCAGTAAAATAGGCTGAAACACATATTAAAATTAAATCAATCCAAAGCCATTACTGAATGTTAACATAGTCTGAAAATTAAATGCACATCCATAATTAAATTACAAGACACCATCACATTTTGAAATTATTTAAAGAATTTAAAATATATTCCACTACTGTTGAAATCATACTAAAAGCAGTATTTACACTCAACAAAATGCATAGCAATATTAAACATGTCATCAAATTTTTCAGAAAAAAAGAATTCCTGTTTAAACAAGGCAGCTTTTATAAAAACATGCTTCATCTTTACTTAATTTGTAATCTTTAACAGACTCTACTTTAAAAAGTCAAGGAATTCATAGGTATTTTCAACAGTATAGTAAGTAATCTAGCAATGTATACCCTGTAGTAATTTTCACTGCAAGTTAACAACTGGAAGTTACTAACCATGAATCTCAATGGGAAACCCTTAAGAGAAGCTGGTTTCAACACCGGCACACTGTACTTCACTTCTCTAGAAATGCATTTAGAAAAGATTAAAATGTTTAAATAGAGATTTGTAGTTTTAGGCCAATGCTGACTTTTACTGTGATTTACATCATTTCCTTGCCCTCTTTAAACAGAGACTTCTGAAGTAATCTGAAGTGTAATAGTTGCCAGACACAGTAGCACATAATTTTCAACTTATCTGACTTTGCATTGCTCTTATGACTTATATCAGACTTAAACCTTTCCAGAAGAGGCCATTTGAGAATTGCACCATTGTAAGAGATATATTTTAATAACAAAAGATCATGTTCAGCAAATATCTCCACTATGAGGGCACAGTAGGAGAATAGAAAAGACGGATTTCTAACTATTCACTCAGCTATAATACTAAATTGGAAGAGAATGAAGGGCTACAAAGTGACGCCCTTCCAGTTTACTTCAATTTAAAAGTTGTATCCTCCTTCCTTTCCCCTTCCTCACTAGTAACATCCAGCTCTTGTATGTACAGGGACAGCCCCCATGGACACACACTTTTGCACTTCCTCATTTTTTTAATGGGCATCAATTACATCCCAATCTACCTAAAATATTCTTCTTTGTAATACATATTATTTTCACACATGAATCCAAAGTACATTTTTTTAAAAATTCAGCATTAAAATCAAGCCATTAAGAAATTAAATTCCACTATTATAAAGTATGAGACAGTTGGAGCATTTATGTGCCACAAAATCAACAATAAAAATGTGTTTTGTAGTAAATGGGAGCCAGATAAAAACAATCTTGCATGCACATTCTACAAAACACAGTGTTTGTTGGCATCAGAGAAACTAGACATTGTATAGAGTACCTATACGTCTAGGAAGAACCATTATGATCAAATTCTAAGAACTTCACAGGTTCTTTGAGATTATATGTATAATACTAAGAAAGCTATCATATTTAAGTAATTTTTTTCCATTTTGTTATGAGGTATCTTATAATTATGTTTTTCTGTTAATAACTACTAAATACCAACCACTTCTTTGAATGCCATATTTTATTCCATCTAAACTGAAACTTTGCACATAGAAATAATCACAGATGCTGAAGTAATGAATCTATGGCAATAGGTGTTTATAATGAACATAGTGAAAGCCTACACTGGAGACACACTCAAAAGAAAACCCCATACAAAGTGTAAGACTCCTTTCATACTCACCTCTTCTACCTGAAGTAACTGTTCAGGAAGCACGCTGGTTTCATTTGCTCTAGTTTCTCCTATTAAGAGCTCCCCACTAGCTCTCTTCAGAACTCCTGCACAGTATGACAAAAGAGATCAAAGTTTAGATTAATTCTGTAGAAAAGTCAGCAGTCTTCAACACCTTCTTATACATCAATATGAAGCATTAAAAAAACCCTCAAGAAGATGTAGGGGAATACTAATGTTATAATAAAGTAAAATTCAAGTTATATACAGTTTCTTTTATATAACATGATGAAATCAACATCTAGTGGTACTTGTATTTTATACAAATGCACATATAATGTGTAAAATATGGTTTCTTTTGTCATCAATGCATTTTTATACTAATTGCGAAGTCATCTCTTCTTAAGGAGAATGCATAACACTTGATCAGCTGTATAGAAATTAATTTCTCCTCTTTGTTCCAAGAATTATATCAATTGAACTCTAATATATCTTTTACAGCCTTTACTTATTTGGAAACACCAATACAATAAGAATAAAAACACAGTTAATTAGTACATATATTATAAGCGAAATGATGGCTTATAAAAACATAAAGAACAAGAGAAGCTCCTTAAGAAGGGCTGGTACAAAGCTCACTGATAAATCTTAGAGTAATGGGATATTGCCCCAGTTTTGTCAAGGACAAACCAGTATCTGGGGTTGACATCATTTTTATCAGTGATTCAAGAAATCTGGGTTCCTGAAATGTACTGATGATTCCTCTTCCCTCTGATAAAAGCATGAGATAGTGGAGTTCCAGATCCTGAGAGCACAAAGGAGGGTAAAAAGCACGATCACAGCCCCAGGCTTCAGAAGAGCAGATTTTCCCTCTTTGAATATCTGCTTGGAAGAGTACCATGGGATAAGGCCCCAGGTAATGCGACACAAGAATAATGGGCACAAGAAATTTGATTAATATTCAAGTATCACCTCTGCTAATCTCAAGAGAGCTGAAAAAAAAATATCAGAAGGCCTGCATGCATGAACTAGAAGATCCTAGCCAAACTCAAACACAAAATGAAGCATACAGAGACTGGAAGTGAGGATGGGTAACCTGAGAGGGACACATAAATAACTTCTGGGCATGGAAAACGTTAAGGAAGCTGTAGCTCAAATGCAACTAATTTGGTCAGGGATGTCAAAGACAACAAGAAGGGCTTCTGTAAGTACACAGGTGATAAACAGAAGACTAGAGAAAACATAAGCCCATTGCTCAAAACGATGGGGGACCTGGTAACATAGATATGAAAAAAGTTGAGATAATTAATGTCTTCTTCAACTCAGTATTTACTATCAAGGCCAGCCTTCACAAATCCCAGGCACCAGAGACCAGGAGCAAGGAAGATGTATTCTAGATGGAAGAGGATCAGGTCTGAGAATAACTGAGGAAACTCAACATACTGAAATCCTTGGGCTCTCATGGGATGCACCTGCCAGTGTGGAGGGAGCTGGAAGATGTCAATGCAAGTCCACTCAATAATTTTTGATCAATCATGGCAACAGGGAGAAGAGTCCAAAGGCAAAAAGAAAGAAAATGTCACTCCTATTTTCAAAAAGGGCAAGGAGGAGGACTCAAGGAATCAGAGTCTAATCAACCTCATTTCTGCCCCAACGAAGGTAACAGAGGCATTTCCAGGTGCCTACAAAGAATTCATCAGGAGCAGTCAGCATGGCTTCAGTAACTGGAAGTCATGCTTGGCCAAAGCATGATAAAGTTCTATGAAGAAATGATTGGCCTGGTAGACGAGGGGACAGCAGTGGATGTTTTCTGCATGGACTTCAATAAAGCCTATAGCATTATCCCCCATAAGATCTCGTTAGAAGACAAGATATAGACAAGATGCGTGGACTGGACAAGCAGTCAGTGAGTTGAAAAGTGGCTGAATAGCCAAGCTCCAAATGCAGTGATCTGTGGCACAAAGTCTAAGGCCAGTAATTAGCAATCTATCTCAGAGGTCAATACAAGGTCCAATCCTGTTTAACATCTTCATTAATTATCTGGATGATGGGGTACAGTGTACCCTCAGCAAGTCTGCAGCTGACATCAAACAGGGCAGCAGATAGTCATGGTGCCAATCCAGAAGGACCTCAACAGGCTGGAGAAATTGGCACACTAGAACCTCATAAATTCCAAGAAGAATGCACCTGAGGAAGAGCAAATCCAGGCATCACCCTATGTTGATGTTCTCCCAGCTGGTGAGAAGCTTTGCATAAAAGGACCTGCGGGTCCAGAAGTACATGATGTTGAACATAAGCCAGTAAAAAGGCTGACAGCAAAAAGGTATCTCATCTGGATCAGGCAAAGAAATACAAGCAGGTCAAAGGAAATTGTTCTTCCTCTCAGTGATGAGCCACACCTGGAGTGGTGTGTACAGTTCTGGGTTATTCAGTACAAGACAAACATGAACATACTGGAGAGTGTCTAACAAAGGGCCATGGAAGATGACAAAGGGAATGGAGGATAGGCTGAGAGCAACTGAAGAGAAAGGGCAGGACAGGATATATCACTAATGTATCTAAATACCTGAAAGGAGGGTCCAAAGAAGTCAGAGTAAGTCTTCCACAATGACAGGGTCAGTGGTCACAGGCCCAGACAGATGCAAAGCCAGGAGGTTTCCTCTGAACATCAGAAAATGCTTTTTTCACTGTGAAGGTGACCAAACACTGTAAGGTTGTCCAGAGAGGTTATGGAATCTCCATCCTTGGAGATACTCAAAAGCTATCTGGACATAATTGTGGGCAATTGGTTCTAGAGACCTTGCTTGTTGGACAATATGAATACCAAAGATCCCTTCCAACCTCAACCATTTTGTGATTCTGTGAGTCACAAAGAGATACAAGAATAACACCAAACTATATGTATTTTAAAAATCTGTCTTGTAGCATAAACTGGTGCAGATATTCCTAAAGCAATGTATTTCATATGAAATATGGAATTTTAAAAGAGGTTTTAAATGACCAGGTGCTACCAAATTATTGTCAAAGATTATTTTCCAGTCATAACCTTGGAGGTCTTCAGTAATCTGAAACTACTAGTAGTACATGGCCAAGGTTTAAAGAGCTTTTCTCTCTGTATGAAATTTCCAGCATTGGATTTAATTTATCCAAAGTAGATTAAAACTTTCCCTTAATTGATTTGCATTCTGAAAATAAACACTGTTTTTCATACACTTATGCAACATTGAAGAGCTTTGAAGTTTTTGTGGAGTTTCTTTGTTTTGGGGGTTTTTTTGTACATTTGGAGGTTTTTTTTCCGAAATACCATTTTGCATTTTCAAAATACACTGACAGATTTAAGCTGGGAAAAATGAAAGATAACATAGTAGAACATAAAAAAAAAAAGATATTAACCAGGCCATCCAACTCCCTGATCCTCACCATTACAGATAGTACCAGAAACTTACTGAGATTTTTTCAGCATATTTTAATGTATTTTATAATAAAGTTTCTAACAGTTTTCATTAGAAATTGGTCCAGAATTTTAAAAACCCAACTAATAGTCTAACTGACTAGATATTTTCCCTATTTTCTATTCTGTGCTTTCTACCTTAAATTTACCTTTTTTTCCTTTCAATTCTCCTTTTTTGTAGGTATAACATCACATTCTAACTATAACCACAAGAAGCTTCTATACATTCACATTCTTGTATTATTGTCTCTACTTAGATCTGCTATTTACAACTTTTTATATCAAGACTTCAAAGAAAACCTTAAACATTTAAGCTAAAATCCTTGTGTAATCACAGCATTGTTGCCTTACTTATTAAGAACTCACAGCTGAGATAAATAGGTATTTAGCTGATGGTAGATTTGTGACTCCAAGACCACAGGCAAAGAGCCAAATGATGCTTACACCCATACCAGTAATTTAACAGGCTCCTTCATTATTAAATTAACATGTTCTACTACATTATCCTACCTCCTTTTCTAATTAACAGTCTGGACACTCCTGCTTTATACTCACATATATCTATGCTTGTGCATGTGGGTTTACATACATTAAAAATTTCACTGGTTTTCTCAAATAAGCCCCAGGTTCAAGTCCCCCATATTTTACTGACTTCCTTTGGCTTCTCAAATTTTTGCTTTCCCCAAATCTCATCTGGGTATGGCTGGCTAAGGCCATCTTCTTCCTCGATTTAACCTCCAGCTAGCACGGGTCACCTTCCCACTGTATATTGAACATTTTACGCTTAGCCACAGCCCCCAATAGAGCCTCCATTCTTCAGATGCTACTACAACCTTCCTCTCGAACACTATTTCCAGAGACAGATAACAAGTGATACCCTTCCTGTCCTGTGACTTTTTCATTTGTGTGAGAGACTGGAAGGAATGTTTGCTCAAAATGTTTCAGGGGTGTGTGTGAGGGAAAGAGGCAGGTCAGGCATTGTTCTGGTGAGGCAGAACATTGCTCCACATATTCCACCCCCCAGACCCTGTATCCCAGCCCAGGCTGGCCGCCAATCCCTGGCACATTGCAGGCAATGCCCCTGGAGCCCCAGCTCAGCCCCAGAGTGGCCAGATGACTGAAACTCCCACCTGGGGAAGAGCACAGGAAAGCCAAAAGGTATTTAACCTGAGACACAAGGTCAGCATGTCTTGACCCTATCTCCTCTTTGAATCTTTATGAGATGGACACTGCTGGAAGCAGGAGTGGTAGTTAGGTTTGTTCTTTTCTATATAATTTCTACCTTTCTCTCTTTCTTCTTTTAATGCCCCTGGAGCCCCAGCTCAGCCCCAGAGTGGCCAGATGACTGAAACTCCCACCTGGGGAAGAGCACAGGAAAGCCAAAGGGTATTTAACCTGAGACACAAGGTCAGCATGTCTTGACCCTATCTCCTCTTTGAATCTTTATGAGATGGACACTGCTGGAAGCAGGAGTGGTAGTTAGGTTTGTTCTTTTCTATATAATTTCTACCTTTCTCTCTTTCTTCTTTTAATTCTCTCTTCTAGGAACTTTTGAGTAACTTAAAATTGAACGGGCTTAGAGTTTGCAAAGTCGAATGGGCCAAGTTAACGCAGATAAAGTGTTTTATCTCATTGAATGCTGGCCTAAACGTTTTG